AAGTGGCATCCCAGTCCATTGTTCTCCGTGGCTCTTGGCTTTACCCTCTACATCTCTCACTTTGCATTGCCCTCCTTAAACACTTCTGAAGAGGGCATTGGAAAATATGCCTTCTGAACAACTTCCTCAAACTGCTTCCTGTCCAAAGAAAGTTGGGGGCCCAGAGTCTTTTTACATTTAGTCCCTTTTAATCTAGGTTGATGTCACTTTTATTAGTATACCTCTCCAAAAAGTTCTGTGGATCTTTTGGGTCTGATTTGAATCCACTCTCTACACCAAAAGCCATATCCAATCATTTTGAGATATCACTTGCTCTCTGGGCTTAATCACTGATATTTTAGATATCAAGCTGCTGTGGGACAAGAATCTTATATTTCCTGGAAGTCATTTTTAATCAACTGGAAAAGTCTGTTAGACAATGCCTTGATTCTTTCAGAGGTCTTAGCCAAGTGTCTTTCAGCCCTTGATTTTGTTTTTACCTAAAGCTGTATCATAAGTTTGATATCTTTATTGGCTTAAAGGGATGGAGATGAGGAAGTTATTGTTCTAGCATCTTTACATTCCATCTAAATTCTACTTCAAATCTGGCTAGTTCTTTTCTGAGTAATAGTCAGCTGACATTTTCAACATTCTGCCTAGAAATGTCTTCTCTCAAGCCCAAATGTTCAGGAGGTACATTTTCTGTCTTCCAAGTTACCACAGGTGCTCAGTTTCTTTGCATTTTTCAGCCTCCTAAAATAATTTTCTCACCATTTTTCCAAGCCCCACCCACAGCCCAGCTCCAATGTCACATATAATCATTTTTTGATTTGCACCAATTTCTATGTCAGTTATCTATTACTGTGAATAAATCACTTTACATCTCAATGCCTTAAAATAATAAACATGTATTTAGCTCATGAATCTGTAGATTGGACTTGGCTGGGCAGTGCTTCTGGTCTCATCTGGACCCACTCACATGTCTGGGATAGTCAGTTACCTTGATGGCTTTGGCCAGGCAAGGTTAGGCACAAACATTTCATAATAAAGACAGAGCAAAATGAGAGAAATCTCAATTGCATAAGGACTTTCCAAGCCAATGCTTGCATCTTGTTTGTGAAAATCCCATTGACCAAACTTGCATGGCTGAGCCCAGAGTCAGACAGGGAGGACACAACAAAACTTCATGGCCAAGTATGTGGATATAGGGATAAGTGAAGAATTGGGGCTATTTTTGCAACCTAGTATTGGGAATCAATGTTATATTTGCTTCATAAAAATCTGGAAGTGTCGGGACGCCTGGATGGCTCAGTCATTAAGCATCTGCCTTCTGGCTCAGGTCATGATGTCAGAGTCCTGGGATCAATCGGGCTCCTTGCTCAGCAGGAAGCCTGCTCCTCCCTCTCCCACTCCCCCTGCTTGTGTTTCCTCTCTCACTGTGTCTCTCTCTGTCAAATTAATAAATAAAATCTTTTAAAAAAAATCTGGAAGTGTTTCTTCTTTTCCAATGTTCTGAAATACATTATATAGCAAAGGGATTAACTGAACAATGAAGGTTTGGTAGCATCCTCTTGTGAAACCATCTGAACTAGAGCCTTTTTCATATTATAGGTCTTTGATAATCTTTTCTACTTCCCTTAATGAAAATTAGTCTGCTTAAACTTTCTCTATTGGAGTCATTTTATTTTTTTTAAGATTTTATTTATTTACTTGACGGAGAGAGACACAGCGAGAGAGGGAACACAAGCAGGGGGAGTGGGAGAGGGAGAAGCAGGCTTCCCGCGGAGCAGGAAGCCTGACGTGGGGCTCAATCCCAGGACCCTGGGATCATGACCTGAGCCGAAGGCAGACACTTAACGACTGAGCCACACAGGCACGCCTACTGGAATCACTTTAGTACCTTAGGTCATTACCATTTCATCTAGGTTTCCAAATTATTTGCAGAGTTGTACAAAATAGTCCTTAAAACTAAAAATTATTTTGTTTTAATCTTAATTTTTCACTATCATTTTTATTTTTAATATTTCTACTTCCTCCCCCTTTTACATAAGTTAGCTAGTGGTTTGTCTCTTTTCATTGTTTTTCTTTTTTCCTTTTTTAAGATTTTTAAAATTTATTTGAGAGAGAGAGTGCAACCAGGAGGAGGGGCAGAGGGAGAGGGATAAGCAGACTAAGTGCTGAGCACAGAGCCTGATGTGGGGCTCTATCTCACAACCTGAGATCATGACCTGAGCCAAAATCAGTGGGACACTTAACCGACTGAGCCAGCCAGGTGCCCCAATTGTTTTCAAATAATAAAAATGTTCTTCATTAATTTTATTTTTTCCTGTTTTTCTAATGTGTGATTTTATCATTATTTCTTACATCCCTTCTTTTGTTCATTTTGTCCTTTTTTTTTGCTTTTGAGTTGTATTTTTATTTAAGTTTTATTCTTTCATCAATGTTACAGTATTTTAAAATTTTTGAGTATAGTTGACACGTGTTATAGTATTTTAAAGCTATATTTCACCTATCAATGCTTTAATTATTTCTCACAGATTTAATCATCAATCTTTTTTTAAAAGCTCTGAAATTTTGGTTTATATTTCCCCTTTGTCCCAAGAATAATTCATAAAAGTCTTTCTCCAGGTGAAACTTAAAAATATATATTTTATTAATTTCTCATTTTATTGCATTGTGATTAAAGAAGATTGTATTATCTCTATTTTGTGGAAATTATATGTTTTCTTTGTGATATAATAAATGGCCAATTTCTGTGAGTGAGAATAATAGGTGTATCCTCGATTATGTATTATTATTCCTTATTATAAGATGCAAAGTTCAATATATATTCAGAAGATATATAGATTCTGTTGGAATTTATAGGTGAAATCAAAGAAAATAATTTAAAGTTGAAAAATGAAATAATTGAGGCTGTAACATTTGTACTAGTATACCTTCATTGTGAATTGTGGCTTTTAGCATTATAGTGTCCTTTGATTTATCTAGTTGTCTCCTGAATTCTACCTTTGTCATATATCAATATTGTAATCTTGCTTTTTATGATTTGTATTTGCCTGGTATATTTTTGCCCACCTAATTTTTAGCTTTTATGGGTCAATTATTTTATTTTTTTTTGAAGATTTATTTATTCACGAGAGACAGAGAGAGAGAGAGAGAGGCAGAGGCAGAGAGAGAAGCAGGCTCCCTGTGGAGCAGGGAGCCCAATGAGGGACTCGATCCCAGGACCCTGGGATCATGACCCGAGCCAAAGGCAGACGCTCAACCGACTGAGGTGCCCAGATCATTTTAGATATGTCTCCTGTAAATAACAGATAAGATGCTGGTTTGTGAGCCAATCTGAACTTTTTTTAAGTTTTTATTTGAATTCCAGTTAGTTAACATACATATACGTATGTTAACTTATACATAACTAATATTAGTTTCAGGTGTACAATATAGTGATTCAACACTTCCATACATCACCCTGTGCTCATCACAAGTGTACTCCTTAATCCCCGTCACCTTTTTTCACCCATCCTCTTACCCACCTCCCCTCTGATAACCTCCAGTTTGTTCTCTATAGTTAAAGAGTCTATTTCTTGAAGCACCTGGGTGGCTCAGTCAGTTAAGCATTCGACTTTTGATCTCAGCTCAGGTCTTGATCTCAGGGCTGAGTTCAAGCCCTGCATTGGGCTCCATGCTGGGTATGGAGCCTACTTTTAAAAAAAGAGAGAGAGAGTCTATTTCTTGTTTTGCCTTTCTTTTTTTTTTTTCCCTTTGCTCATTTTTGAACTTTTTTAAATAGATGAGTTGAGCCTTTTAGTTTATTAATTTGACTCTATGCTTATTTTTATTATGTATTTACTGTGTATGATGCTACATTCACTGCATGTTTTTCACTATGTGATTTATTGCTTTTATTATTGTTTCTTTGGGCATTGAGGGAGATTTCTATCTTCTAGTGATTATCTTTGTACCTTTATATAATTCTTTGTCTCTTTTTTTCCTTACTTAAGCCCCAACTATTTGGTTTGTCAGCTTTAAATGATGCCCTTTGCCTTGTACAGACTGCCTTTGCAACAAAGACCTCTTTGTACTGTCCTCCTCCTCTCCCTTCTTTTTCATTTATTTCATTGTTACTTCTACCTTGTCAAAGAATATCATTTGATACTATTCTTTCACCCCATCTCCTCTTTCATTTTGGTTTTAAATCTGAAATTAAAGATACTCAATGCTCACCGCCAGTCCTTTTGCTGAAGTTCCCCAACCATCTCCTAGTTGGTTGAAGCTTGTCTTTTAGTAAGATCCGAAGGGGTTATGAGTACAGTATTTCCTGAGCTCTCACATGATTAAAACTTACATGTGTCCTTGATACTTAAAGGACAGCTTAGCTTGATACAAAACACATTCTCAGTTCCTATTTTTTTTCTTTATACTTCTTGAAAATGTTGCTCCACCACTACTTGCTTTTTGAGAAGTCTGATGCCAACCTGACCTTTCCTTTGTAAGAGACTAGCTCTTTTGGTCTAGTCTTTTCCTCACCTTCAAAATTTAATAGTTTGCCAGGATATGTCTCAGTTGATCATTCTGGGTCAATTTTGCTATGTAAGAAAGGGGCCCTTTCAAGATAAAGATTTAGGTTTTCTTTTTGCTTTTTCAGAAATTTCTCCTGGGGCATTTTTTTTTTTTTTAAGATTTTATTTATTTATTTGTCAGAGAGAGCAAGAGCACAAGGAGGGGGAGCCGCATGCAGAGGGAGAAGCAGGCTCCCTGCTGAGCAGGAAGCCTGATACAGGACTCTGGGATCATGACCTGAGCCAAAGGCAGACGCTTCACTGACTGAGCCACCCAGGTGTCCCTCTCCTGGGGCAGTTTTAAGTATTAAGCAATTCCACAGTCTTCTTTTTTGGTAGCTTCTGGGAGCTCCAATTTTGCCTGTGTTACTTCTTCTTTACCTATCATTTTCGTTCTGGACCTTTTCAGCTCTTCCTCTGTATTTTTTGCTGTCTTAGCTTTTGTCATTCCCAACTTCTATATGCTTTACTGTAATTGTAGTCATCTCTATTTTTATTTGAATATGTTGTGATTTTGTCTTCATATCTATGATGGTTTTAATTTTTTGTTCAAATTGTTTCCCAAGCTTGGTCATTTCTCTTTTCACATATCCCTGTTGCTTTTTCTTTTTTTTTTTTAAAGATTTTATTTATTTACTTTACACAGAGAGAAAGACAGCGAGAGAGGGAACACAAGCAGGGGGAGTGTGAGAGGGAGAAACAGGCTTCCTGCGGAGCGGGGAGCCCGATGCGGGGCTCGATCCCATGACCCCGGGATCATGACCTGAGCTGAAGGCAGACTTAACGACTGAGCCACCCAGGCACCCCGCTTTGTCTTTTTTTTTTTTTTTTTAAGATTTTATTTTATTTATTTGACAGAGAGAGAGAACGCAAGCGAGGGAACACAAGCAGGGGCAGAGGGAGAGGGAGAAGCAGGCTTCCTGCTGAGCAGGGAGCCCGATGTGAGGCTCGATCCCAGGACCCTGGGATCATGACCTGAGCCAAAGGCAGACGCTTAATGACTGAGTCACCCAGGCGCCCCCCGCTTTTTCTTTTTTTTTTTTTTTTAAGATTTTATTTATTTATTTGAGACAGAGAGAATGAGATACAGAGAGCATGAGAGGGAGGAGGGTCAGAGGGAGAAGCAGACTCTCTGCCGAGCAGGGAGCCCGATGCGGGACTCGATCCCAGGACTCCAGGATCATGACCTGAGCCGAAGGCAGTCGCTTAACCAACTGAGCCACCCAGGCGCCCTCTGCTTTTTCATTTTTATTCTGAGTTTTAAATTTTCTGAACTGTGGTATCTTTCATATCCACAATTGTTTCAAAATTTAGAGTTCATGTTGGAGGGTTGTTACAGTTTACTCTCTTTTGTTCTCTTTATTTTGGAGTATTTCATCAGCTTGAAAAGTTATGATTCTTTGTTTTCTTCCTGTATTTGTATACACAGTGAATTCCTTGTTCTATTTATGTTGACACGCTTGCAATAACAGGCAACTCTATGAGGGAAGAGGTAAAATGGGAAATGGATTGATTGAGTGGCTTTCGCTGTTTCTTGGTCCAAGAGAATCTTTTTCTGTTGGTCAATGTTGTAAAATTTCTTTAATGAGTAATGTCTAGGTAGTAGGAGTGGGAAAGTTGTCCATTTTCTTCTGAATCTTTGACTTGCTATTGATAGGCTGTTATCTTCAGCTTTCTGCTTTCTTTCTCCCCTTCATCCACCAAGCCTGCTAGGGACACCACTTCCTTTCAAGATGACTTCATCTCTCTCAGAAGTGATGCTGCTGGTCCCACTCATTTTCTAAACCTCTTCCTTTGACGTCCCCCTCTCCACTGCCTTGATTGACCAGGTCCCAGACCTGGTTTGCAGCATTTTTCCACTCTGGATGGAAACCACAAGCAGTCTGGTTTAACTGAAGTTCCAGTTTAGGCAACGGCTTGCAGCAGAGGTAAAATTTGAGGGATTCTGCAGGAAGCAGATCACACAGGACTTTATTTGTAGGCTTTTGTGATACGTTGAGCAAGGAATAAAAGGATCCAAAGTAAAACGGGAGGGAAGGAGAGAAAGGAACTGCTTTAGGAGTTAACAAAGGAATAACCAAACTCACTTGGTGACTGATCTGACATGGGAAAGGGAGAGGACATCTGCATTTGAGGTTTGGGTTCTTCAGTGAATGGATGGATGAACGGTGGTGCCAGTTCACTGAAACAGGAACACGAGAGGAGGTTTGGGGAAGGGCAAGGGAAGATAAGTGGAGTCTGAAGTACCCCTCTGAGAATTCTAATAGACTCCAAGGAAAGTTCTGGATGAAAGCATAGGTCTGGGTGTTCCTGGCATAGAAGCAGTGGTTGAAACCCAAGAAGAGACGAAATTATCCAACAAGAGAAGATAGAATGGGAGAGAAAGAGAGATGAGGATAAAAATTTGGGGACCAGCAATAATTAAGGACTACACAGAGCATTACTATCAGTAAAGAAGAAGGAATGAAAGCTCAGGAAAGCAGGAGAAAAGTTGGGAAGAATGACTATCAAAAAAGAAGACAAGGACAGAAATAATTACTGTAATGGATTAAAATACATAAAATATATTAAATGTATGGTATTGACACTAGAAATAAAAACCTACTTGCTGTTAGAGGATGCTTGGGAATCAACCCATTATTTTGAAAACTGGTAAACAGAGGAAAGTATTTATCCAGCCTCTCCTAGCTCTTTTGGGTAATTGGGCAGGGAATGTCTCTCACACAGAAGAATCCCGGGTAATAAATGAAGAGGAATAACAAAACGGTATCCCTAGTGAACTAATGGAGCTAGGATTGAACATCCCCCAAATGAGATAAAACCAGACATATGGGTCTCCCAATGGAAGAACACAGCACCATTTTATGAAATTGTCTGACATAAAAAGGGAAATAATCCCACGTGCATCAGATCAAGCCTCTAGGTCAGTGGTTATGAACCAGGGGCAATTTTGCCTTCCCATCCCCACCAGGAGATAATGTGGCAATGCCTGGAGACATTTTGGATTCTCATGACTTGGGGAGGGCGTGCTACTGGTATCTGGTGGGTCGAGGCCAGTGACCCTGCTGCCCCGCCCCCCACAACCAAAACTTACCCAGCCCCAAATGTCAATAGTACTGAGGTTGAGGAGCTCTGTATTAGATCCAATCACCAATTTATAGGAAATACAGAAGATAGAGAATATGTTAAATGACACCCCGGAAAAAGAATCAACAAAATCCAGAATTAGAGAAATGCTCCCTGAAGGAAGGGATGGAGGGAGGGAGGTGCTGCCCTGTACTACCTGGGAGAGGGCCCCTGCAAGTGGTCTCGTGTGCCAGGGAGTCAGGCAGCCTGTGGGCAGAGCTGATGGGAGAGGACAGGAAGCTTGGTCATCAGCCCTGTCAAGCTTTTTGGGTGGGAGGTAATGAGTTAAGGTGGGCATGGGGAGGGAGGAGAGATCACAGAGGATGAGGGGACAGAAGCTGGGAGGTGAGAAGGGCAAAAACTTGATGGAGGGGTTAGCACAGGGAAGACAAGATAGGAAGACACTAGGAAGCCCTTCAGACACTGAAATGAGGAGGGAGGAAGCAGTTGAGGGGGTCAGCGTTGGAGGAGGGAGGATGGACCACAGGGTCACAGTAGGGGGGGGGGCAGGTGGCTGTGGGTTACAGTTTGAGGAGAAGTAGCCAAAGAGTCAGAGTTGGGGAAGAGGTTGCTAGGGTGGGGGTATGGGGGATAGCTTTGTCTCCCCTGTTCTGCTGATTAGGTCCCTATATTAGCTTTACTTCTGCATTTGAAAGGGGCAAAGTCACAATTTTTACTGGACATATCCCAGACTCACTGTTTTATCTTGCCTCCCAAGATAAAGGACAGGAAAAGACAGATGCTTTCCTGCCCTGGGCACAAGGGCACAGAATCAGCCCATTTATGTTCAGGAAGATGTGCTAAGGCGGGTTTCAGGTGGTCCCGGGCAGGGCTGGAGCACCGCAAGGAGTCAGGTGGGCAGGCAGAGTCACTCAGGACAGGGAAGAGGATCCCTGCTGTCCAGGAGGAGCATGGCTCAAAGTGGGATCAGTGAGCCTGGGCAGGCAGGGCTAACAGGGGTGCCTGGGCCTGAGGAATTCACTCTGGAGGCCACCGGGTCTGGGACAGGATTCTCTGCTCAAGCTCGGCGTATTGCGGGAGAAGGGCCTCGTAGACCTGGAGGGGCAGAAAGAGCAGTTTAGAATGGGGAGGGAGAGGTGCCTCTCATCTCGTAGCAACTTGCAATTTTTAAAATTTAGCATCCCATTTACTTGCAATTTAAGTGTTTGTGCTGGGCAAAGGAAAGGAAGCACAAGTCTCAAAAGAGGAAAAGCTAGTAGTTCTCAAACCTATACTTTAAGATTTTCAAAAAATGCAAATTAGGACTAAAAAATTTGTTATCAAATCTACAAAATTTAAAAAAATTCTGGTGAAGGTACCTGGAAATTGCACAGCTGGTGAAGCTGGTGGTACAACCCTTCTGGAAATCAACTTGACTGTACGTTGGTATTAAAGGGCCTGAAAATGCCCCTAGCCTTTGACCCATTTATTCTACTTCTGCAAAGCTCTCCTAAGGAAACCATCCTAAATGTAGGGTGCCACACCGGACTAACCGTCCAGTCTCCTAAGACTACCCTGTGCCACACCCTGGCCCTCAACAGGATACACTGGAGAAACATACTAGTTGGTACAGTGGCTGCAGGTGCTTCTCTTCAGTGAAAGACCACGCAGCGGTCCTTATAGCGGTTGGCACAAGTGTCCAGGAAAGGGTCTCCCTGCCCCCCGTGTTACGGCTCAGGTGCAAGGAGGTGAAACCCACATCATACAGATGGAAGAACCACCCTAGCTTTGAAACCTCGTGCCGCACAGGAGTATCTCTTGTAACAACTCCATAGGCAAGACACACGCCCATGAGACGTCACTGGACTCAGGGAAGCCCTGAGTATGACTTCCCCTCAGGTATATACGGTTTTCCCACTCCAGATGCAGTGCCCTAATTAAAGGCCATTTTTACATAAGCAATGCTGTGTACCAATACTGTGACATTCCAAAGGAAACAGAGCTAGAAATTCAACTGAAGTTCAAATTCTCATGCAGAATAGGAAAAGGTTTTGTTAACCTTTTACCCACATAATTTCAACTGCAGTAATTAAAAGACTAGAGGGGCACCTGGGTGGCTCATTTGGTTAAGTGTCTGCCTTTGGCTCAGGTCGTGGTCCCAGGGTCCTAGGATTGAGCCCTGCGTCAGGCTCCCTGCTCGGCAGGGAGCCTGCTTCTCCCTCTCCCTCTGCCCCTCCCCCTGCTTGTGCTCTCTCTCTCTCAAGTAAATTGGTAAAATCTTTAAAAAAAAAAAAAAAAAACTAGAAGCAACTGCTCTAAGACATATAAAAGACATAAAACAAGTAAATTATGGTTCATTAGCCAGAGAGAATATTATGCAGTCATTAAAAATAATGTATATGCTCATTTTTAAGAATATAAATACTCATGTTGTACTGTAGTGTTGTTTTTTTTTTTAAGTGGGCCACAAAATTATATATACAGTGTGCTGGGTAATGAACCAAAACCAAAAACCAATAAGGGACAAAGGTTTTTTAAAAGATTTTATTTTTGAATAATCTCTACACCCAACGTGGGACTCAAACTCAGAACTCCGAGATCAAGAGTCCCATGCTCCGCCAACTGAGCCAGCCAGGCACCCCTCACAACCCCACATTCTTAACCTTCCTTCCCCCTCCTTTAAAAAAAAAAAAAAAAAGCTGTTTTCACTTGTGACTCTATAAGCCTTGCCTGAGAAATGTGGGCACTTCAGGTTAGCACATGGTGTCCTATAGACAAGGGACCCAGATTTCCTTGCGACTCACAAACGCCACTACTAGCTCATTCTAATCCCACTCTTTCATTTGGCTTAATTAGCTCCAAACTTTAGTAACTGATTTTGCACCCAGGGCCCACTCTTGGCGCATCTGGGGCCACTCGGTGAAGGTGACAGAGAACAGAGAACTCACGGGGAGCTTGGATCTCGTCTGTCAGGAGGAAACTGCAATATTCAGCTGAGCCGAGAGAAAACACTGGTACAGTTTGGAGTTTCTACTTGAGCACAACCACTGCTGTACGTGCCATAGACAGAACACAGAGGATGCTCCCCTGCTCCCAAGTTTACAAACCAGTCCTCCAGTAGGTCATTACACCAACAGTCATAGACTGCTGCTGCTTGCAACCTCGTGTTACGAGGGATTCTGAGGTTGCACTTGGGTTGACGGGTACAGAGTTCCAGGAGCCCTTAGTGACTTTGGTCATGGGAGAGCCAGGGAAGGTGGGGACACACACAGAGTGTTTGCTGCCTATAAGGAGACAGGTGCAGCGGCCCTAAAGCTTTTCCCAGCTACCTTCTCCCTCGTGGGCCTCCTTCTAGAGGACAAAGGAGCTAGAACCTACCCTAGCCTTTCTTACAACCAAGGGTGACCATATGACCAAGTGGCCATCTGGTGGGGGAGTTGAGAGAAATAGACCAGGATTCTGTCCCTGATGAGCAAGAAGTGCATGAAGAGGGGCTGCCCAACGCCACGCTCTCACTCCTGCCTATGGATACAGTGGTGGGGGAGCGGGATGTTGGGAGAAGCGGAAGACATCCTGTGATCATCGAGAGCACATCTAAAGCGCTGCCAACCAACACCATAGCCATAAGTCATATAAGCCTGGGAGTACTTGAACTGGGACTAGTGCTACAAGTCTAAAATACACCTCGGATTTCAAAAGCTTCATACAAAAAAGAGGAATGTAAAATAGCACATTGGCAATTTTTCTTACTGATTACCTGTTGAAATGGCAATATTTCAGACATACTGGATTAGATAAAAAATATCTTTAGTCATTTATTTATTTTTATTTATTTTTTTAATGAGACTACTAGAAAATTGGAAATGACATAGGTGGTTCTCATGGTGCCATTGTCCGTTGCTGATCTGTAGAATTGCAGAGACTATGATCCAGAGCCCTGACATTGTGGAACCACGGAACCAGCCCCACAACTACCTTCAGACTTCTTGTTACATAATAAAGCCATTCTAATTAGGGAGTCTTTCCAAACTTCACAATGAGTGGGTTAAAAGTAGGCAGGACCAGATGTTGTCCCACTTCACAGATGCAGAAACAGGCTCGGAGATGAGAAATGCGGTTCAAGGTCACATGAAGGTCATATGCTGAAGGAAAGGCTGGATAAGAATGAAAAGCCAAAGGCCCTTTCTATCAGTTTAGGGTCTTTCTACTGCATTGAGATGGCTCTTAAAGGTAAGGACACACGACATAAGGACAAAGTAATAAAAGCTTGGGCACACCTATGCGTGTGGGTTATGTAGTCACCTGGAAACTAGGAGCTTCTGCTCCCAGATATGTTGGGAGACAATTCTCCATGGTGTTTCTACGTGACTGGTGACAGCTTTTGTTGCAGACTATCTTTTCAATGTTTATACAGCAAGTAGCATTGGAAGACAGAGATAGAGTCGTCCTCTGGGGCAGAGGGAAAATTTATCTGCTGATCAGGCTAGTACAGATAATGTCTCCCTCGAGGGCAAAGGTTGGGAAGATCTGCTTGCAGCTCCTTTATAAGTTGGGAGTTTCCTAAGCTTGGGGTCACTCAGTTTTGATGCAGACATAGCGTGTGCACAGTATCCTCCTGGGCCCACTCCACATCGTCCAATGGCACTTCAGGGCCAAGGAAATCTGGTGCAAGCATGAAGTTCACACTGACTGCTACATCAGTAATAATGCCCTCTGTCTGCGCAGCCCTGCTGCTGGGCTGCAAGAACCTTCTGGGAACAGGAACAGAGGTACGGTGGATGCTGTGGCATACCACCCAGACTGCCCTTCAAGAATGAAGACCTTATTCTCCCAGCCCTCAGCTGACGGCCCCCTTTGGGGATGGCTTTGGCTAGAGAGTGCTGCCTTACCCCATCCTGGGGTGGCCTGCATACACAGACTGGCTGACATAAGGTATAACGGCCCGGCCCCCTCACCCCAGCTAGGTTAAAGTCCAAAGAGTCAGCCCAGCTTCATAACTTCCTCTAGGACTGGCTGAGGGCTCCAGGGAGATTGCCCTGTGGCTCACCTCCTCCCTCTGCCCCATCCTGCCTCCTCGTTTCCCCCTCCACAGATATAGATCCCATGAGCACCCCCAATAAATGTCCCTATACCCTAATCGGCATCTCAGGGTCTGCTTTCCAGAGAACTCAAGCTGTAACAAGTGGGGTCTGCCTTCCCAGGGATTTCCTGGCCTGGGGAACCGCACACCTGTCCCTTGGATCCAGACTTCAGATCTGAGGGCTAGAAACGCAGCACTTCTTACGCTTAAGTGACAGAGTCTTTCTGTGGCTTCTGTAACCCGTGAAATGTCAGGGCCCGTCCTGAGGCATATGCAACACTGAAGATACACCCAGCAATTGATCTGACCCCTGGGGCTATAAAATCAGCAGTATCTATAAATCTCAGTTGACAACCTGGCTCCCTTTTGCTCTGTTTCCCTGACAATTAAAAACCAAAAAGGAGGATTTCCCCATTAGCTGAACACATCAACTTTAAGTGACAGAGCAAAACTTACCTTTTGGAAAAAAAGAACCTACAGTTGACCTTGAACATCATGGGTTTGAACTGTGCAGGTCCAAGTACAGGTGGATTTTTTTTGATAGAGTAGACGGTAAATGCATTTTGCTTATCATTTTCTTTTCTCTAGTTTATTTCATTTTAATAATACAGTATATAACACATACAATATATAAAATATGTAGTAATTGACTATTTATGTTATCAGTAAGGCTTCTGGTCAACAGTGGGCTATAAGTAGTTTTGGGGGGAGTCAAAAGTTATATGTACATTTTCGTGTCTGCAAGGGGATTGGCACCCGTCACCCATGTTGTTCAAGAGTTAACTGTGGTTGGTTTTCACAATGCAAAGGCTATGACCAAATTCTGATGGTCTCTCACCTGAGCAGCTCCTGGGGTTGGGGTAGCAGCTAATCTGGGATTTGGGGCTAACTTCACAACCTCTGAAAAGGGCACGTCTGTTCCAGCTGCAAGGCCCAGAAGGGAAAGCTCATTTCACATCAGTGCATGTTGCAAATGAAGACATTAACTGAAAATAGCATCTTATCTCTGGGGTGATAAAATATTCTAAAACAGGATTATGGTGATGGTTGCACAACTCAGTAAATTTACTAAAAAATCACTGAATTGTACACTTAAAATTGGGTGACTTTTATGCCATATAAATTGTGCCTCAGTAAAACTGTTCGAGAAAAAGAGAGAGACAGAAGAGAGAAATTTGATGTGCAGACCTCTCCCCAGCAGGGCCTAGTTTGTCTTGCTCAGCGGGACAGCACCTGTCACAGCGGGGTGGCGGGCCCCTGGCATCTGACAGGAGGACTTACCTGCCTCTCCTCCCTCACCTGGCCCCACTCCCCAGGGCTCAGTGCACCGAAGCCACTCCAGGCTTCTTAGGATTCCTTCTACCTCAGAGCCTTTTCACTGTGTCCAGTGTCCCGGTCTCCTCTCTTCACGGACCTACACTCTTCTCAGACCAGCTGCCGCTCACAATGTCCCTTGTTCCGAGGCTCCCTAACCATCCACCCCCAAGTACCACCTGCTGTCCTCAGAAACTTCATACAATTTCTGGCCCCAGATTTAAGGTCCCTCCCTTGCTGAGCCCCCAGAGCTCTGTGAAGCCAGGGACTGGGTCTCCAGAAGAGCCCTGGGGCCTCGCACACCGCCTGCATACCCGAGGCCCTCAGTAAATACTCCCCAAGCAAATGAGCGTGGGACTGGAGAGGAAGGGAGGCTGCTGTCGGGCAGGGGCGGGGGGGGGGGGGGCAGGAAAAGTGAGGAATTTCTAGGCGGGTTAAGGAGTACTATCAGATAGGCAGGGAAACACAGGACCACTGCGAGTGAGGCAGGGCCCGGGCAAGACACAAGGTTTCCAAGCAGATGTTGGGATATCTCGGCTCAGAGCTGCATGGGAACGGGGTGGGGGGTGGGAGGGGCCAGCAGAGAGACCAATCAAAAGACACTGGTCCCTTGGCCACTCATTCAGAGACCGCCTATGTGTGAGGTTCAGCCTGGATGCAACTGGGGAGAACAGATGTGAAATGGCTGAGACACCTCAGGGTGGGGACTGGTATGCTCGGACTTAGCTTGGGCTTCGGTTTTGGAGGGCACAGTGGGCAGTACCCCAGATAACCTCTGGCAATGCAACAGGCACAGAAAAGGAAAAATAAAAAAGAAACGCAGTGCCACATAGCAGCGGAGTCCCGGAAGGGCAGTGCCTTTCCCGCTTTAGCAGAAGGAGGAGTGGGAAGTGGGCTCTGGGCTTCTCATGGGCAACACTAAGGGCCAGAAGATTATGGAACAGTATTTTCAAGGTGCTAAGGGAAAGTATTCTGAAGTTAGAGTCCTTTGCCCAAACACGGTAACATTCCTTTTTTTCTTTTTAAGATTATTTATTTAGGGGCGCCTGGGTGGCTCAGTCGGTTAAGTGGCTGCCTTCGGCTCAGGTCATGATCCCAGGGTCCTGGGATCGAGTCCCACATCGGGCTCCTTCCTCAGCGGGGAGCCTGCTTCTCCCTCTCCCTCTGCCTGCCACTCCACCTGCTTGTGCTCTCCCTCTCTCTATCTCTGTCAAATAAATAAAATCTTTAAAAAAAAAAAAAGATTATTTATTTATTTGAGAGAGAGGGAGAGCACAAGTGGGGGGAGGAGCAGAGGGAGAGGATGAAGCAGACTACCCACTAAGCAGGGAGCCCGACATGGGGCTCGATCCCAGGATGCGGGGCTCGATCCCAGCCAAAGTCAGATGCTTAACCGACTGAGCCACCCAGGCACCCCACAAGGTAGCATTCTTTTGGAGGGTGAAACAAAGCCCATGCTGGACATGTAAGGCCTCCAAAATTATCACCTACTGAATTCCCTCTTAAACTTACCTAGGTTGTAGAGTCCAACAAAACTATCATGGAAAAGAAAAAGGAGAAAGAAACTGCAGGGAATTAGGAAGAGAGAGAGGAATTCATAGGGAAGTGCAAATAAAAGCCAATATGATGTAAGTTTAATTAAAAACACAACCTGGAAATAAATTACCCAGTGATCTTGACACAGGAGGTGGCATGAAGTGGGGTGAGGAAGACAGGGTAGACAGGGAGGGGAGTAAAAGAGTGAGAGGTTAATTATTAAGAGAAGGATCTGGTCCCTGATTAATTCTGTGTTGATAGAAACATGTAAGTTTAAATAGGTGTGTTAAAAAGTGAAGAGTAAATGCATGAAGAGAACTGCCAGAAAGAAGAGAGCCCTTGAGGTAAATGGGCAGCTGGAGGAGCAGTCTGAGCAGGCAGGGGACAGGGCAAATTGACTAAATGGGCCCCTTGTGGGCATGGGCAGCTCCCAGGAGAACCTGCCTAGACGGGGGAGGTCCAAGTTTCAGCGAGGCTGCCATCAGAGCGATGGGCCCCCATGGAGCTGTCCAGGGTACTGGACTGTTTGGCTCTGAAGCCTTCAGCTTTGTTTCCACTTCCCGCATTTGCTGAAAAGATGGCCCTGGACTTCATCCACCTCTCCTGCCCACCAGCTGCCCAGACCCACACCCATGTGCCCTCAAGCATGTCCTGCGTTCTTTCCCAATGTCCCTGTGCTGAGCCTGACCATGACCAAGTCTCATTCAGTTAGGAACCTACTTTTCTTTCCCCGCTTTAAGTACAGAATAAAAGAACAGAAGGTTTGGGTTGGTTCTTGCCTGCTGGGAGGAGAAAAATGAAACTAAAGCCCAAGACTCCAATGTCCCTAAAGACTGGGAACATTCCAATCTCCCCTTTCTATCCTCCTCAGCCCCGCCAGTGCCCCAACTCTTCCAGAAGCCTCTGTTCCCCATCCCTCGACCTACCGTGGAAAGCTCGGTATGCAGAGCCCACACAGGCCGAGTTGGCAGTGTCTGTGACATACACTGGGGCACCAAACACATCTGCAAGCACCTGGAAAGGAGGAAGGTTCATACTGTAGTAAGCCATTCCTTGGGGGGAACACGGACATTTGGCACACATGCTCTACGCTCTCTTTCCTCATGTGTCTTCTGATGCCTTCCATTCCACCTCTCCTGCCTTAAAGGAAGTATACTCAGCCATGCCACCCTGATAATAATAGTCAGGATGACCTGGGGGCAGTCTCTAGTGGAGGGCCACAGCTCTCCAGGTTGTCCCTGCACTATTTAACCATTTTATCAAAGACAAGGAGGAAGATTTAGGAAGTATACTTAGCAAATAGTTAAGGTGGAGATGGCTGGAGGTAGAGACTAATGTCAACAAGCTCAAACAAACCCAAACTAAGAGGGCATGTCTAATAGGACTAAGGATAAATTTTTCCATTTAGCTCCCCAAAATAAATTGCATAATTTTAAAATGGAGGACCTCTATTCAGTGGAGCTCACATGGAAAAGATTTGGGAGTCTTTGTTGACCGGAAATTAGAGTGGATGCCACTGATGCCCCATCTGGATTCCATTACTGGACTGTTGTGCATCTCTCCCCCAGATGCTATGAGTATCGGCTGCTAATGGCTTACAGCTGCCCCTCCTCAAAGGAACTGCTCTTGGCTGAACAGAGGATGCCTCTCATAGGAGGTTATTCTCACCTCTCTCCAGGTTAGCCACTTGGCCCCCTTACCCAAGGTGGAACCAAGTCTGTGGTACAGTTCACGTTTCAGATCTTCCCTATGGGATGGAACCGAAGCTGAAATCACATTCTTGCTTATCATTTCCCTCAGCGCTACCTGCCCCCCTCACTCTCTTCTGGGAGCACCTTCTCAACAATCCACTTATAGAATTCCCATCTCAGGCTCTTCTTTTAGAGAATCTTACCTAAGACAGGTATATTATAAGTCAATAGTTGATACAGCCTCAGGCTACATCCAAAAATGCTCAGTGTCCCAGTAAGACCCTGACAGCCCCATGATGTGACAGCTTGACTGTCAGACATCTGCAGGAGTGGGAACAGAGGCAGTCCTTAATGGACAGTGTCTGGCTCTTAGAAGTAACAGACATGGAAGAGGCCCTACTGCTTGGCCTATCACCAACACATACCTGTAAGATTTCTCTGTTGCGAGATGCCCCTCCAGTGGCCAAAATCTTTGTCTTGGGCACTGCAAGGAAGAAGAAAACACTGATGGCTGTACCAGTCTCCCCAAGACAAAAAAGACTTTTCTAGAGTTCTTCAGCCACAAAAGGCTTGTACTGGACCAATGCCTCTTGCTCATCACACAGGACTCAAGGAGAGCTCCAGAGCTGGCGCTGTCCATGCAGGCTTGTCACAAGTAATTTGTTTGCGAGGCTGCTGCCCTCTTACTGTCTTCATTTTTTTAAATCATTAAAAAAAAAAAGAATCTGTCAACAAACCAGGAACAAAAGGGAACTTACTTAAATTAATAAAGGCCATCTATCCAAAATTTATAACAAACGTCATTCTTTTTTTTTTAAGATTTTATTTTATTTATTTGACAGGGAGGAAGACAGTGAGAGAGGGAATACAAGCAGGGGGAGTGGGAGAGGGAGAAGTGGGCTTCCCGCCGAGCAGGGAGCCTGATGCGGGGCTCGATCCCAGGACCCTGGGATCATGACCTGAGCCTAAGGCAGACGCTTAACAACTGAGCCACCCAGGTGCCCCTAACAAATGTCATTCTTAATAGAAACATTTAGAAGTATTTTCTTTAAGACTGGTGTGTCTCCCAGACCTCAAAAAAATGGCCTCCAAATGATCCTTGCCTCCAGATATGTTTACGTTCATGTTATTCCCTCTCACAGTCAATAGGGCTGACTCCTGTGACCAGTGGGATATTGTGTAAATGGTGGAGTGTGAGTTCCAAGAGTAGGTCATAAAGGACATTGAGGCTTCTATCCTGTTCTGTTGCAGATCACTCTCTTGGTTCCCTCACTTTGGGGACTCCTACCAACAGCTGTGTGAGCTGGCCACCTGGGAAGCAGATCCTACAGCCCGAGGCAAGCCTTCAGATGACTGCAGCCCCAGATGACATATTGACTTCAACCTTAGAAGAGACCTCAGCCAGTACGACTGAGTTATGCTAATCCCAAATTCTTGACACACAGAAACCATGTAAGATAATAAATGTTCATTGTTGTTTTAAGCTGCTAAGTCTTGAAGTAATTTGTTACACAGCAATAGATCGTTAATAGTAAGAACAAAACAAAGACTCATACTATCCAATACACTGTCACATAGTACTAGTTTTACTAGCCATGCCTATAAGGCAAGAAAAATAAATAAATATATAAGGATTGAAAGAAAATAAATAAAACTACCATTATTATTTACAGACAATAAACTATCTACTTAGAAAAATTAAAAATAGGCAAACTAAAGTTTAATAAGGTTGCCAGATATAAAAAAGTCAACTTACAATAATCAATGGCATTTCTAGCAATAATCAATTACCAAATGTGATAGAAAATAAATTACCATTCACAATGGTAACCAGAAATATAATGTAGCTAGGAAATACCTTAGCAAAGAATTCAGAAGCCTCTATGAGGAAAAAGAAAATGGAAACTGTTATTAAAGTACAAAAAGGAATATCTAAGTAAATTAAAAGATATTCCACAGTCTTGGCTGGATTTGAACTAACATTATAAAAGTGTCAATTTGGGCGCCTGGGTGGCTCAGTTGGTTAAGCCACTGCCTTCGGCTCAGGTCATGATCCTGGAGTCCTGGGATCGAGTCCCACATCAGGCTTCCTGCTCAACAGGGAGTCTGCTTCTCCCTCTGACCCTCCCCCCTCTCATGAGCTCTCTCTCTCTCAAATAAATAAAATCTTTAACAAAAAATAAAAAATAAAAATAAATAAAAAAATAAAAGTGTCAATTTTTTCAAACTAATTTATAAATTCAATACAACCTAAATAAAAATTCCAACTGGATTTTTTTTTAAAGGAACTGAATCAAGTTAGTATAAAATATTTATGGAAAAATAAAGATCCATAAATGGCTAAGACAACACTGAAAAAAGAAAAGTGAGGGGATGAATTGCTGTATTAGACATTAAGACGTGTTTTGGGCTGAACTGTGTGTGTCCCTTCAAAATTTATATGTTGAAGTTCTAACTCTTAGTACCTTAGAATGTGACTGTATTTGGAGATAGACAGATACACGTTTAAAAAGGTAGTTAACTGGGGTGCCTGCATGGCTCAGTCGTTAAGCATCTGCCTTCAGCTCAGGTCATGATCCCAGAGTGCTGGGATCGAGCCCCACATCGGGCTCCCTGCTCCACGGGAAGCCTGCTTCTCCCTCTCCCACTCCCCCTGCTTGTGTTCCCTCTCTCGCTGTGTCTCTCTCTGTCAAATAAATAAATAAAATATTTTAAAAAAGGTAGTTAACTGAAATGAGGCCATTAGGGTGCCTCTAATCCAATATGGCTGCTGTCCTTATAAGAACAGTGTATTAGGCCACACAGAGGGAAAACCATGTGAAGACACAGTCAAGGAGAGAGACCTCGGGAAAAAACAACCATGCTGACACCTTGATCTCAGACTTTCAGCCTCCAGAATTGTGAGAAAATTAATACCTGTTGTTTGATCCATCCAGTCTGTGGTACTTTGTTATGCGACCTGGCCAACTAATACATACTACAAAGCCATAATAATAGTTTGTCCCAAAAACAGACCAATAAACCAATGGAGTGGAAAAGGGGATGGGGAGAGAGACCCACATATATATAAAAACTTGATAAATGATAAAGAAGGCACTACAAGTAATGGAGGAAAAGAGAACTGGGTCACCATGTGGAAAAAAAGTTAAACCGGATCCCGATTTACACCATTCACAAAAGTGAACTCCAGAAGGATCAGAGTCCTAAATGTGGAAGTTACATGAACAGTACAAAATGTACAAAAAAAAAAAATTTCTGTGGCACTGAAAGAGGGGAAAACCTTTTCAACAATATCTCAAGAGCATAAAATTTAAAATGAAATATTGGCAGGTTTAATGAAATCAAAACTCTGTTCAGTTGCCAACACTATAAATAAGGTTAATAGACAAATGACAGAAGATGCTTGTGACACAGAAAGCTGACAAGGATCTAGTAATATTTGAAGTATCTGATAAACTCCTGCAAACTGTTAAGAAAAAGATGGGAAATCCAATACAGGGGAAATGGTAAAAGATAAAAACCGCCAATTCACGGGGGAAAAAAACCAAAGTTACAAAGAGCTGTTCAAAGTCATTATTAATGAAAAAAATGCAAATAAAAGTAACACTGCGATACTAGTTTACATCCATCCCTCAGATTAGCAAAGGAGTCAAAGGTGCTTAATGCTAAATGTTGGTGGGGATACGGGAACACTCATGCACTGACAGTAGACCGATGATTTCAAAAATGCAAGACTCTGAGCCTGTCTGTCTCTACCCACTTCCACTGAGCAGCAGCGGCATCTGACCTCAAGCTAAAGAACGGCCCTCCAGCCAAAGTGAGCAGCTAACCTGGGGAGGGTGCCTGGGGGGCCTGAGGGGAATCAGAACTTGCAGTACCACTGAGCTGCCTGGGCAGACGTGGAAAGGGACAGACATGCACCCATCATAGAAATAAGCTGCATTCATCTTCCAACCAGAATAAAAACCTGCTGATTTTGGCATGTGGAGAGCCTTCGTAGGGAGGACTCCAACTTTAACGCTTGTACAGTGCTCACAAGTTTCAACTTAAATCTGCCTGTTGTCACCCCATCTACTTCCCCAGCCTGGAAAGGGCAGGTGGGGTGGGGCAGGCGGGGCGGGGGTAGGGGGTACTGGGAGGAGGGACCTTGCTTGCTGTCTCCACTGAGAACCAGTTACTCATTCAGTACTACGAACCCGCAGCCAAGACAGTTGAGAAAACTCAATGGTGTGAAAGAGAAAGATCAATGTGAACAGACTACCTCAGAAGGAAAAGAACCCAGGCAACAAAAGGGCAAATTTGAAAAAATTCCAATATTTTATCCTCTGGTGTATTTGAATGGGTATAAATCCATAAAAAAGAATAAACCATTACGAAGAAGAACTGGGAAACAAGAAAGAGTTCTAAAAATTAAAAAAATGATATATGAGGGGCGCCTGGATGGCTCAGTCGGTTAAGCGTCTGACTTCAGCTCAGGTCATGATCTCAGCGTCCTGGGATAGAGCCCCACATTGGACTCTCTGCTCAGCAGGGAGTCTGCTTCTCCCTCTTCCTCTGCCCTCCCCCGCTTGTGTTCACTCTCTCTCTCTCAAATAAATAAAATCTTAAAAAAAAAAAAGATATATGATTACAAACAAATTTAGGTGCAAAAACTAAAGAGTAGAATAAACATGGCCATATCTAATATAATAACCTGAAAGATACAATCCAGGAAATTCCCTATGATTTAAAGTGACAAGGAAAGAGAAAGAATAAAGTTAGAAGACACAGAATTCATTTATCCTTTTAGAGTTATTCAGTCTACAAATATTTAGGGAGAGCCCAGTTGCCACCTGGTAGTGGTTTAAGAAGTGGGAATAGATAGTTTAACAAGACAGATGAGATTCTTCCTCTCAGAGAGCTCATATTCTAGTTGAGGGAGGACAGACCATAAAAAGATAAATTTAAAAATAGAGCATGATAGTGACAAGTTCATTTTTCAAAAATTTTATTTACTTATTTATGTCATCTCTACACTCAACGTGGGGCTCGAACTCACGACCTCAAGATGAAGAGTCGCATGCTCTTCCGACTGAGCCAGGCAGGGGCCCCTGAGAGTGACAAGTTCTATGACGAAATAAAGCAAAGAGCAATTAGGGCCAGAGAGCCAACATCTGGTCTGCATAGGACAGGGTTTCTCAAGCTTGGCACAGCTGACATTTGGGCTGGATCATCATTGGCTGTGGGGGCTTGTTGCACACACTGCAGAATGTGCAGCAGCATCTCTGCCTCTGCCAGTGAGATGCCAGGAGCACTCCCCGTTGGTGGCACCAAAAATGTCTCCAGATATCATCAAAAATTCCTCTGGGGGGCAAAATCACCTCTGTCGGAAACCACTGGCCTCATATGAATTCTAGTAAAAAGAACAGAGAAAATGAAGGGAAATAAATCATCGGAGAAATGATGTAATAAATTTTCCCAAGGTAGAAAAAGTCAGATATATTCAGGCAAAAGGGGCCAGCGGGTGCTCAGCACAATGAAGGCGTAAGGCCTATACCCAGACTGTAGTTGAGAAATTTCCAAAATCCTAAGAAGATTCTAGAAGATTCTGTAGAGGAAAAAAATACCATACAGATGGGCTTCTCACTGGCAACCCTAAAAGTCAGAAGACAAAAGAACATTATTTTCGAAGTTCTAAAATAATATGATCTTTGAATTCAGAATTCCACATATTATAAAAGTAGCATTTAAGTGTGAAGGCAAAATTAAACTATTTTCATACAGTCAGAGACCATTCCCCTTACCCCCACCTCTACATGAAAGAACTAGTCAAGGATGTCCTGAAGCAAAGATGAAAGCCAAATACAAAACCACTTAGATGTGTGATATAATAAATAGTGGTAATCAAGGAAAGCCACCAAGTGTATAATTTACATAATTATTGATGCATAATGCACACTGAACAGTAACATCCTGGAAATGGAAAATGGGAGGTAAAGAAGAGAGAAGAGGGGGCGCCTGGGTGGCTCAGTCGTTAAGCATCTGCCTTCGGCTCAGGTCATGATCCCGGGGTCCTGGGATCGAGCCCTGCGTCGGGCTCCCTGCTCGGTAGGGAGTCTGCTTCTCCCTCTGCCTGCCGCTCCCCCTGCTTGTGCTCTCTCTCTCTTTCTCAAATAAATAAATAAATAAATGTGGACTGGGCTAGTGCATGGCAGCCCCTGTGCTGACGTGGCGCCTGAGTGAGCAGGCCCACCCTAAACGTATTTGATTAACAAAGTAAGCATTATGCTAGCCAAACATGACAAGTTCCAGAAACAAAATCCATCCACTCAGGTTGTCAGTTTACTACCAATACCTGTTACACAGAAGAGATGAAGTAAGGAAAAATCAGCCAAGGGCCTGCACAAGACTGTTCCTAGCAGCGCGGTTGGTAACACGTGCAAACGTACATCACAGAGCAACGGTAAACGGATCATGGTACAATCACGATGGAACCCCACAGCACTGTGAGAGCTGACAACTGGTAGCTATGTTAATTCACACGGGCGAATTCATGAACATAACGTCGAGTTATAGAAGCAAGTCACCTAAGAACACGGGTCAGTCGGGAGAATGATGCCTCACGTTTGTGCAGCCCTTCTTGGTTCCAAGCATGTTCATTTATGTAATCTTATTTGAGAGGAGGCCAGCACAGCTAGCAAGACAGGTTTGATATTGCCTTTAAGTCTCCTAAGAGGATAAGTAATTTTATGCGGGTTTGCACAAAACTGCTTTAAAGGCTGGGAATGACGGCATGATTCCATCACCCCTCCAGTGCCCAGGAGGACCTCTCTGTTCTCACTGCCTCTTCCTGCACACTGTTGGGGCCAGCCCCCGACAAAGTGCCGCCTTCTGCTGGCCAGAGGACCCTTCATGCAGGGCACTGGGTGAAGACATCAGCACCATCCCAGCCCTGCTCACCTATCTCACTTTTCAGGGGATTCTGAAATCTTTGTGGAGATCTCTGGGGGAATATCTTTCTTTTTTTTCTTTTTAAGATTTTATTTATTTATATGAGAGAGAGTGGGAGAGAGAGCACGTGCAGGGGGAGGGGGAGAGGGAAAGGGAGAAGCAGACTCCCCACTGAGCAGGGAGCCCGACACAGGACTCGATCCCAGGACCCTGGGATCATAACCTGAGCCAAAGGCAGACGCTTAACTGACTGAGTCACCCAGGCGCCCCTGGGGAATTTCTTTTTACACTTTGAGTGATGGAATGGAGAGAAATGGAAATGTTTATCATGATCATTTTATTTGTTTTAAAATTTGCAGTGAACACACGTACACCCTGAAAAACGTAGGTAACACCTCATAAGTTGACAGCTTGACAAATTTTCACAAACTCAAGACACCCATGTAACTCAGGAAAGAGACCACCACCAGCATCCCAGAGGCCCTCTTCCTCTGAAAGGTTCGCTGCCCTGGCTTCCAGTGACAGTCTGGTTTTAAACTTGATGTACACAGAATCTTGCCACACACACTTTTGTGTCTGGCTTCTCTTGCTCTGAGTGACATCTGTGCGATTCATCCATTTTGTTGCCCGTGGTGGAGGCTGGCTTATTTTCATTTCGGTGTAGCATCACATTGCACGAATACCCCAGAATGCATGTCTCCTGTCTACTACCCATGGGCGCTGGGTTCCAGCGCGGGGCCAGTAAGCACCGTGCCATGATGAATGCTCTCCTGTACGTCTTTAGAGACCATGTGTACACATTTCCATTATGCATGCACAGAGAGGCGGGACTGCTGGGGAGGTGTGTGTGTGCAACTTCTCAGAAGGCTTACCTAATGCTGATTTCTAGAGTATGCTTGCACTTGGTTGGTTCAAAGACAGAAAACATACTACACAGAGCTCAGATTGTCCATAAAAGTGTCATGAGGAGGCGCTCAAGCAAAGAGGCTTCAGGGGTTTTCTACCCTCTCTATGACAACAGCTGCTGCCCAGGGGGACAAATACAGCTTAGAGACCCGGACTCCAGCCTCCTGGCAGAAGCCCTCGCCCCAGACCATTCCAGGGCCAGCAGTAAGGGGAACTCACCGCCCTCCTAAAGCTGCCCATTCCATAGCTCAAGTTCTTAGAAATCCCTTTCTCCCCACAGAGCCCCCCCCCCCAACCTGCCCTGCCCTGCCTTTCCATTCCAGACCTCTCAGATTGGACAGTGGTTCTGCATCCCCACTCTTCCCCATCCAAGCTGAAGTGCTCAGACTGTGCCCCACAGGCAGATGGCCCCAGCCTAGACCTTTCCCACCTGCACTGCCCATGTCCTCAGGGTCTGGAGCTTGGGACACTGCATCTGCACGTTGGAGGTCTGGGTTACAGAAAGGTCTCTAAGTGCTACAGGTACGCGCCAGAAGGTCAGGCTACTGGGGACAGAGCAGAGAAGCAGCAACAAGCTACCTTCTCGTCCCTGCCTGCCCACACGGGCCTGCTGACTCACCTTCTCCCCAGCCACCCACGGCCGGGCTCCATCTCCCTCCTGCCCCGGGAAAGGAGCTTCAACAGACAGCGCCGTGCGAGGCCTGGCCTGAAGGCCGGGAAGCATCTCAAGCACCTCAGGGTGTGAGGGTCCCCACCCCAGAACACAGCCCACCAGCAGCTCACTTACTGACTCGGTAGCCCAAGCCCTCGGCATGGATCCTCTTGGCCATGAACTGCCCTTCAATCAGTGCCCGGATCTCCACAGCCCTAGGGAATGCTGAGACCTGTCCCCAGGAGAAAGCAGGCACAGTGAAAACTCCTTGGTGTCCCTTCATTGTATGTGTGCGTGCATGTGTGTGAGTGCATGCATGTGTGTACGTGAGCATGTGTGTGTGCATGCGTATGCACGAGCATGTGTGCACGCATGTGTGTGAATGCATGCATGCATTGCATGAGCATGCATGTGCATGCATGCATGTGCGCGAGCATGTGTGTGTGCATGCATGCGTGAGTGTGCGTGTGTGTGCACATGCATGCGTGTGAGTGTGCGTGCGTGTGCATGCATGCATGCGTGTGTTGTCTTTTTAAACAGCCCAGATTCAGAACTCATGACTCAGGCCTCCAGGGCAGCTCATACACAGCTGGGGCTCTTGACCCACTAAGCACCTGCTGCACATGCTCACACAAACACATCGCTCACACATACATGCCCCCAGCCTCAGGCGTGCTCACTTCGGGGACACAGAGCATCAGAGAACTCAGTTTCAGGCCACCAAGGGTTCAGCTCTGTGACCTCGAGTTAAGTTAGGTAAATCTTGCTGGGATTTTCATTTTCTTTCTTAACAAAACCGAGCTCATAGTGGTACCTGTTTCAGGGTGGGTATAATGATCAAATGAGACAACAGAGCCTGGTCTAGGTGTGTGATACTAAGTGAGAACCCACAGCTGAGGAGTGTCCGTCAGGCTAATGCTGATAGGCGTCAACCCCAGCTTCGCCCATGCCTTAGCCCCTGAGACCAGCGACAGACCCTACCTTCTCCCTGACAGACCCCGACGGGTTTATGCAAAGGGGAACAGGCATACCTTCTCTGTATGAACAACAGAAACCAAACAGACCCTTCATCAGAAGACTGAGGTGAGCCCCTCCCCCTAGAGTTTATATAAAGCTTTCCACTTACAACCCAATGTGTCATGACTTCATCAGCCACAAATCTGATGCCAACTCTAACTGTAACAGTTACTAGACAGAGGGACTTACTCAATCCCACATGCACGGTGGAGGGGAAAGGAAACAGTGCTTCAGGACCAGGGAGGACTGGGTCTGGAGGGCCCCCTGCACCACCCAGGCCCTGGTGACTTGGGCACATGATTTAGCATCTCTGGACCTCAGGATGCTCTGAGCAGTCAATGAGGGACACAGGGAACCACCAGCACAGTGCTTGGAGCCAAACAGCACGCAATAAATGTTAGTGCTTCCAGTCCCAGAGGCTTTTGATCAGGAAGAAATACCCGATCTGGGGACAATGTGAGTCCTTGGGGGTGCAGGATTAAGCTTGCCAAGGGAACAGGTTCTATGGCTTTCAGTGGCAGTCAGTGTGGACACGGGTCAGCCAGGGGAAAGCCCCGAGGTATTCTACATTCCTCTTTGTGAGAATCGCGTCTGTCCTAGATTCTGCGGATTCCCCAGCACTAAAACGCACGCCAGCACATCAAGACGTTTGCGTTAGCAAGAGCGGAGTAAATGAATGAAGTCCCTCAAGTAGCAGAACTTGGGAGGCAGTTGTTCAATTCAATACTCGAAACTGGAGGCAATTTCTCTCCAATACGAATACCACACGTACCTGTCGGTTTTCTGCACTAAACCGATGGCGCCCAATAATTTCAGGGGTGATCTCCATTACGTCAAAATAAAAACCTGAAACCAGACCAGGAAGAGAGTCACTGTCGGTAATCAAAAACAAAAGATAAGCCTCTCAAAGACTTAGGACAGAATAAGGTGAAATGACCCCATATCTCTGTCCCCCAGAAGAGTCGGGAAAGACAGGAACTGGAAGGGCCTGGGCTAGATCCTCCTAAAGACAGTTCTGCCTACTCTTACCCGACAGCCCAGACCAGAGGCAGCTGCCCCACCAGCCCTGAAATACCAGTGCAGGTTTGATTGAGGGCCGCACGTCCCCTCCCTGCTCAGAAGGCCTGGCCCAATGCTGGGCCCTCTTCCGAAGAGAACCCTGCATCTGGGGCAGAAAGCTACATATGGGCGCACACCAGGGTAGAGCAGGAGCTGTGGCTGTCCTCCCTGAGGCTGTCACCAGGGGCTCTGAGGGGGACAGAGCCCTCCACTCAAAGCATGGAGAACGGCCCTACCTTGCTCAGATCGTTGGGCCTCACAGTAGTTTGGAAGACCCACGGAGCAGAAGGACACACAGCTAGGGCTCCCCCTGGCTTGCTCCGTGGCCCTCCTTTCCCCCTTCCCCTGGGGCCCTCCTGTCAGCAGCTACTGCCCTTCACAGGCCTGGGCATCACCAAACAGCCTACCCAGATTCCCGCCGTTGCCCATCTCCGTGGACCGCAGTGCCTCGGAGAAATCACTCCAGGAACAGGAAGCGGACTCATCACGGATCTTCTCTCTCATGAGGGAGCCATTTTTAAAGCTGCAGAAGTGCACACAACCCTGAGGGGGGACCCACTGCTTGCTGACTGGACCCATGTGTTTTGGTGAAGAGTCCCAGGTCGAAGGGCTGCAGGTCAAGCTGGACCACAACCCCCAGGCAGTGGCTGGCAGAGATCTGAGGTTCTCCCTCAGGTTATCAGGCCCAGCGAAGGTCCCTGGGAATCACTGGGGAAGGCTTGTCTCGGACTCTGTTTACAGAGGTTGCCGCAAAGGCACCCCAGGAAGAGACGGGGAGCTGTGGCTTCTACGCGTTGTACCACCTGGACGATGGAACAGAGCTGGCTAAATTTACTAGACCTACATATCCTCCAATGGTTCCTGGGGCCTAGAGGCTCAGAAACTTCCCTGAGTAGCCTCTGGTGGGTTTCCAAAGGCCTGTCATCAGGGTGCAGAGCACACCTCCTCCATGACAACCGTCAGGGGGCAGGATGTCCTTCCTACTATTGTTGAAGGTCTAGCACATGCTAGGCATGTCCTAACAACACCATGAAGTAAACCTTTCATTCTTCGCATTTGATGAGCAAAGTGTGGCTCACGTGAGCCATGGGGTCTGCCCCGGGCCACACAGGATATGGGTGTTGAGGATGGGACTGGAATCTGGGTTTGGCGAGGACTCCAGGTCCGGGCTTCCTCCCCACCTAGCTCTGCTGTCAGAAAAAAACCAGAGTCCCAGGGTCTCAGAGGCCACAAGAGCTCGCTGAGCAGGAAAGCCTGCGGGCTCCACACGGTGTCACACCTGCCCACTGCCCACCAAGCCTACCACAGGAGTGCCATGTAGTGCTGGACATCAACCGGGTTGCAGAAGACGTGCCCTTCCAGGGTGGGCACGGGCTCCTGGAGCCAGAGAAATAGGGTGTCGCTGGTGCCCAGGCTGACCTGGGAAGAAATGGGCAGAGATGAGGCGCCTCTCTGTCCAGCTCCGCCAGCCCTGACCCCCTTTGTTTCACTCCTCATGCTGCAGATTAAATGCCACTTCCTCAGAGAAACCTCTTCTTCTAACCCTCCCACACTAGATGAGTCCAAAGTTAGCAACCAGATTTAGGCTCTTATGGAAACTGTGGGCCGATTTTCTAGAATTTACCACAATTGCATCTAACTAATGGTTTGGGTGACAACTGGTTCCCAAATGACCTTCCCAGTAGACCCAGAAGGGCACAGGTTATGTTTTCTTTATTCATCCGGGGAGCTCACAGTCCTCTGGCCCAATGTCTCACCCTTCCACCACTGTACCCACCAAGACTGGCCATTGTCAAGGGGACCTGCCTACCCGGCAAAGGCCATAACCTTCTAAGCGCAGGTCCTGGGGCCTGGGTCTTCCTATCCCCTCCCTCAGCTGCCTTTTGGGACTGGCAGACCCTCTAAGAGGCAGCAAAGGTGCTGCTGGGGCCCTCGTCCCCCAGGGCACAAAGAGCTGGCTTTGCCTGTGGGCATGAGAAGTCACCTTACCGCAATGTCACCCTCCTCCAGCCTCATGCCTGCCAGCGACGCTGAGAAGAGAGGAGGGGAGCCTCTGATTAGCTGGAGGTCACACAGAGCCAAAAAGCAAACCACAGTCACCCCCAGATGGGAGCCAGCCCTGAACCTCCCGCCCCAAGCCACATGCTAGGGTAGAGGCAGGAGCAGGTGAGTTGAGGGCTCAGGATGGCCCAAGGGGAGGTCCCAGGGGTCAAAGGGTAGAGTCCCTGAGGTCAGAGCCTCCGATCTGAGCTGGGAAGCCTCTTCCAAAAGGGTCCAAACGCCCCACCATCAGGTGCTCCCCAGAGTGCAGAGAAACAAGGGGGCCAAGTCAAGACACCAGAATACACATGGCAGAGAAAGAGAGGGTGAGGCAGGAGTGTAAAGGGGGCAGAAAGTAAAGGGCAGTGTCTGTCCCCCTGAGACATGAGGCCCAGAACAGCAATCCGCATCGGCCTGTCTCACTGATGCACTCTGGAACTGAAAGAAGGTCTGGCATTGACTGGGGGCTCACTAAATGTCGAATGACTAACTGGTTGAGTGAAAGGAGAAACGTGGAAGGGACAGGTCGTCCTCCACCATCACTGCTGTGTGTGTCAGGCCTTGGATCCAGGAACCCCACCTCGGAGAACTTAGCCTGTAGGGATGAGGGACAGGACAGGGTGTGCGCGTCAACACCGTTTGCATTGCCCGAGCACTGGAAGCCCCACTGAGCTCCACCGCAAGGGACTGGGGAAAGAAATGTGGAGCAACTGGCCCTAGGCAACCGTTAACATGATGCTGCACAAAAATATTGCCTGGGTTAGTTAAAACAAAATATGTTTACTTATGAGCACAGAAAGAAAGGTGGAAGGATAGCCATCAAAATTTTAACTGTGGTTATCTCTGGGTTAAGAGATTATGGATGATTTTTACATCCTTCCTTTGGTTTGTCAGTATTTAACAATTTTTTTTTCTGCAGTGAAGAGGTATCCCTTGTGAGTAAGAAAAAGAGCATGAGCCTTGGTTAGTCTGCTTGCTTGTTGTTGTTGTTTTAATGAAGGAACAATTAATGCATGACTTAACTCAAGGTCAGACTTAGGGAGAGACCGACTGAGGGCTACCTGCCTGGTATCACCAACATTCAGCTGGAAAGGAGGTCCAAGAGGAAGGATTGGAAAGCTGCTTCTTTGTTATTCTTGCTCAAACATGCCCAGAAGCTCACTTTAGTGGTTAAAAAGGCCCATTCTTCCCCCTGACATTCTTCTAGTTGATAGAGGAGGTACAAGATACATTGCCTAATGAGACTCAGTGAAGTTATTTTCATTCTGAAAGTGTAGAACTTTCCTAAGTTGGTGCTCCTACACCAACCGTTCTTCTTTGAGGGAGGCTGGACCTCCCAGCTTTTTGGGCAGGTGGGAACTGGGGCCTGGGTGTCCCCTGGGAGCCTCGGGCACCAGAACCCACACACTGCAGGCTGGAGCCGCCTCTCAATCCAGGGGACAGATCTTGGGGCTTCATGCCTTGCCACTGTGGAAATCTGGCCACTGTCCACCAGCCCCTGCCTCCCCTCCACTTTTGGACCAGGAACACTGGGATCCCTTCTCCAAAACCCGCTTTGATTGGTTCTGTGCTTTGCCAACAGGGTTCCACGCGCCCGTCTCCAGAAATTGCTCAGGGATAGGAAAGGCCCTTGTCTGGCTCCTGGGGTTCCCTCCAGATGCCAGAGCCAAGGCTGTCCCAGTAGGGAGGGGTCACAGCCAGGACACTGATGCGGCCACAGGTGTGGTGGGGACGTGCTCACTGTGCCCTCAGCTCCAGAGCAGACAGGCCAGAAGCAGACCGAGGAACACCACGAGCGTTAGCGTTATTCTCAGTGATAGCTGTAATAATAGTAGCGACTTCAGTGTTTTTCCTGACCACAAAAATACAGAGACACTGCAGAAAATATAGAATCTAATAATAACACTGATAATGTACCTATTGCCATTAAGGATGAATTTTAACAAGGACCACCCACGCTATTTCGAGGCATACAACTCTACTCCTAGACATATGCGTCTCTGTTTATTTATTTTGGATGCCCCTGTCCTGCTCGTCTACATAGCCAACAGGAGGAAAGTACAGAGAGGCTGGTGGGTGTTGAAATCAGGAGGAGCGCTGAAGGCAGAAAACAACTGAAAAGAAATGTGTCTCAAAGGAGAGCAAAATAGAAGAAATAGAGAGCCACGCTCCCTGACCATAGAGAGAAGCAGGAGAGGCTCTAAGAAGGAAGTCAGCCTCCCTAGGACAGCAGACCCTGGCCCCACCCGGGCAGCAGCCCAGGTCCTCTGCCACGTACTTGACACTTCCTCAGAGCAGGAGCTGAGGATGCTGATTTGGAGTAGAGTTGCCAGAAAAAATGGCGGACGCTCAGTTAAATTTGAATTTCAGAGAGATATACTTTGGGCCATACTTACACTAAAAAATCATTTGTTGGGCGCCTGGGTGGCTCAGTTGGTTGAGCGACTGCCTTCGGCTCAGGTCATGATCCTGGAGTCCCGGGATCGAGTCCCGCATTGGGCTCCCGGAGTCTGCTTCTCCCTCTGACCCTCCCCCCTCTCATGTGCTTGCTCTCTCTCATTCTCTCTCTCTCAAATAAATAATAATAAAAAAATAAAATCTTTAAAAAATAAAAAATCATTTGTTATGTGAAATTCAAATACTGCACGGGATGCACTTATCATACTAATTATTCATCATTCCTCTGAAATTCAAGGCACACTGGGTGTCCTGTATCTATCTGTATTTGCATTTGCCTGGCAACCCTAATTTGGTGGCTCTTCAGGAAAAGGGCCGCAGGGGTGGGGCTGAGGGGCCGCAGTCTGATGGCACAGTGTGGCCACCTGGCCTTTCTCCAGAGACCTGATGACACTTCCCGGAGTGGCTGGGGGAGGGACAAGGTATTCGGATGAGGAATAATTCATACCCATAGATCAAATACCAGGAAGGAGACCCAAAACCATGTCCTAGAGGAAAGGCTGGAGGAACCGGGATGTTTAGCTTGGAACAGAAAACACAGTTAGGGAGGGGTGGGCATGACCGCCTGCCTTAACCGCTGATCATTCTCACCTGGGGGCGGGGGGACGGCAGCAGCCCTTAGTGGCTCCAGAGGGCAGAGTAAGAGCCAAGATAGGGCAGGTACAAGGAGTCAGATTTCAGGCCAGCAGTGTGGCAGGCGGCCAGGGAGGAAGGGCCTGCCACAGAAGGGTTTCCAGAGGCTGGACTGGCATTCTCAAATGTCCAGCACGGACCAAGTCAGGCTACTTGGAGAGTGAAATCCTCCAAGGTACTCACCAGGGTTGTCCCCAGTGAAGGCCACCACTTTGCATCCTGGAGGAAATCCATAGCACTGGATGTAGTAGGAAGAAATGGCTCCCTGAGGAGGAAAAGCAAGCATGCCCTACTGAGGCAAATCTGACCTACTGTGCACAGCCCTCCAAGGCTCAGGTCACAAGAGCGCTTCAAGCTCCAGGTCACTGGGCCTGCACTCACATCAGTCCCTGTCCTAAACCAGGGATGTCCCTCCCGTTCACAAAAAGCCAGAGGAGCCCAGCACAGGCTTGGAACCACAAATATTAGGTCATCCCACTGCCTTGACCACCCCTGGATTTTGAGAGGCAGCTAGAACAAACCAATCCCCAACTTGTACTTGTTTTGCAAGCTCCAAATTCTGAGACAGCATTAGTGGGAAATAAATAACAAGGAGAGGGCGCCTGGGTGGCTCAGTCGGTTAAGCATCTGCCTCCGGCTCAGGTCATGATCCCAGGGTCCTGGGATTGAGCCCCGCATCGGGCTCCCTGCTCAGCAGGAGGGGTCTGCTTCTCCCTCTATCCCTCCACCCTGCTCATGATCTCTCTCTCTCATGCTCTCTCAAATAAATAAAAAAAAATTAATAAAAAAACTTTTTTAAATAGGTAAAAGAAGACACACAGGAAGCAAATTCATGGAAGAAGATCATGCCCCACACCCTTGCTCAATCAGCCCAGCAATCTGATTAACCAAACATGTAAATGCACAGGTCAACATTCTAAAGAAAATAAACCAAAAATGGCAGTATGGGGGAGGGAACACCCCTGGGGAAGCATGACCCCCAAGGCTCCTCCCAGGGCAGCTGTGGGACCAGACAGCAGGGACCCCTCTGAACAGACCCATAGTCTTTAGAGAGCAAAGCCATAAAAGAAAAACACTGTTTTTCCTCTTTCCCTGACTTTATCTCAGTTCCAAAAGTTTAAAACAAATGACGGGCCGTCCTGGTGTGTGGAAAGAAAATTTTGCTCCTTCCAGGAAAATTTCGGATTTACATCAGAATAAGCCATCTCCTGGGAGAGAAATGTCTTGGCCCGGGTTGCCTCAAGAAACAGAGGCTGAGTCAGGGTTTGTGTGCAGGTGGCTTATTTGGGGGAAGTGATCCCAGGAAACAAGAGGGGAACTGGGGAGGAAGGAGAGCCCACCCAAAGGTTAAACTGTCAAGCTGGTCCTCGCTGTGGGCAATGTCCGAGGAGCTGTGTGTGAAGGATCTGGGGGCTGTCCACCTGGGGACGGGACGGGGAGCAGCTCTCCACAGGCTTCCACTGGTGAGGGGTGCCCCGTGGGGTTTTAACTTCCTGGACCTCCAGGTTTGTAGGGTGCAAACATGGAGTCACAGAAGCCGCGGGCAGAAAGTGAGAGAAATGAGATAGAGCTGGGGCAGGGTACTGCCGGGTGACACCTGCATGAAGCCACAGCTGCTGGCAAAAGAGGCAGCTTAGGAGGCTGCGAGCCGGGGCTGGAGAAGCGTCTGACACCATATGTCCCAAATACTTGCCTGCAGAAAATGAGTAAGCTGTCTGGGCACTACCTGCAGAAGAAGGGATGATGGGAAACATGGATTCGGCTTGTTTTCCCCCGTCACGTGGGTACATATGTTACAAAGGAAAATACCCTTTTCAGAATCAGTTCTTTTCCGCTCCTCAAGCTGCTAGTCTGTGCACGGGCTCCCTCCTGGAGGCATGCGTTCCTGGCATAAGGCAAACAAAGCCTGCTGCCATGGACCAAACACTGCTCTCCAGCTCACACAAAACCAGAAGCCGTGCATGGAATACCAATCCCAAAGGCTTGGCCGTTTAGTTTCCTGTTTGCCCTTCCTTATTCTTTCTGCTGGGCTTCAGCGGGCCTGGGTCCTGAACTGTCCCTTGAACTCCCCTCCAAGGCTGGGGACACCCCTCCCTAAGCTCTGTGCATCGGAATTGATCTCCAAAAAGTGGCTGGGACTTGGAACGGGCAGCACGAGCGGGCCTCAGGGACCTTCTGCTTCCTTCCCACCAGCTCTCAGAACCACCTAGAATTCTCTCTCTTCTCAATGTCTGGCATGTGCTCCCACCAAAGGGCCCCTAAGGGCAGGGCCCAGGTCTCCCTCTACTCCATCCTCCCCACAGAACAGCCACGAACGTAAGTTAACTAGGGGACACCAGTGTCCATTCTGAATGGGGGTGCCATGCTATTTTGCCTCTTTTGCTATGGAGTTGAGTTCTTTATATATTTTGGATACTAACTCCTTGTCACATATATGATTTTTAAATATTTTCTCCCATTCCATAGGTTGCCTTTTTGTTTTATTGATGGTTTCCCCTGCTGTGCAGAAGCTTTTAAATTTGATGAGGTTCCATTTGTTGATTTTTGCTTTTCTTGCCTTTGCTTGTGGTGTCAAACCCAAAAAATCATCACCAACGCCTGTTTTCTTCTAGGAGTTTTATGGTTTCAGGTCTTACATTCAAGTCTTTAATCCATTTTCAGTTAATTTTTGCATATGGTGTAAGTTAGGGGCCCAATTTCATTCTTTTGCATGTGGCTGCCCTAAATGTTTTTAATATTACCCTTGGGACCAGGCACTATCTTAAACACTTTATCTGTTTTTATTCTTTTTTAAAAAAATTTTTTAAAGGCCTTATTTTTAAGTAATCTCTACACCCAGTGTGGGGCTCAAACTCACAACCCCGAGATCAAGAGAAGCATGCTCTACCGACTGAGCTAGGCAGGCGCCCCTATCTTCAGCACTTTAAATGCATCAACTCATTTCTTCTGCACAATGGCCTGATGACATAGAAAGTATCATTGTTCCCATGTTTCGGGAAAGATGGAAATGATGGGGAAATTGAGGCACAGATTAAAGTCACAGAGTCAGTGAGTGGCCGAGGCAGGGTTCCAGCCCAGGCAACCTGGCACCAGAGCCTGCGCTCTCCCCAGCTCGTTCGTATTTCTTTCTATTTTCTCCAGACTGCCTGCTTCAAGCTTCAGAGGTGGTTCCTAGCCCTAGAATGTCAATATTCTGTGCATTTTTTCCTAAAGTGTGCAATCACCCACCACTTATATTTTCCACTTTTCTTCCTGTTCTAATAAATTTCTAGTGGAATTTTCCAAGGTCCCCCTTACCGCACACCTCACCGCCACGAGGCAGTCATCCGTACATGCACCTGAGCACCTGCTAAATGCAAGGCACCGATCCAGGCATTTGGCTTTGATGTACGTCAAACCCTTCTCATACTAGCCTGACAATCCCGAGTGTGTACGCCTGTGTGTAAATAAATGAATGAGGGTTTGACTGTGTGTGTGTGTGTTCTGCACTGCTCGGCCCAGTAGCTGCCAGCTCTGAAACGAGGCACGTCACCAGCAAGGGGACCTACCACCACGGAGCACGACGGTACGGGTGTGCCAAGCTTCTCCTCTAAATGAGGCGCACACGCGCCAAGGCAAACCTGCGACCAGACTTTGTCCTGGATCTGCAACAAATTCATTCCAGAACCTAAGGAATGAAGGAAACAAGAAACAGAAACATCTCTGAAAAGGACCTGTTGTGGACATGCACCCAGCTGGCAGAAAGCCGACTGTCTCTTGCAGCAAGCCCAGACCTGGAGCTCTTTCCCAACGGAATGGATACAGTGTGCCTGGCTCATTATGCAACTAGAGGGCCAGAGAACCAGAGGTCAGCAGGGCCCTCAGAAACACATGGCCCCACCACCTCCTCCAAATAGTCCTCACGTCAGCCTGGGAATCTGCAGTCCTAAGATCCAACACTACACTGATGAGGAACTGTTCTCCGCGTCCCCTGGGGTTCAAGGGGTCTGCTCAGAGGGTCCCGTGCCGATGTGGGTCAGTCCTCAGGCTTCCCCAATCACATCTAACTTTTAAAGAAATCACCGAGATCAGCTCACGAAGTGTGTCTGAAAACAATCTACGTTTCCCAAGGCTTTCCTGAGGATGGCAAAGGGGAGAGAAGCCAGAGCACAGGAGGACGGCTCTCCTCTTCCTCCCCCACTGGGCCCAGGTGGAGGCAGACAGCCGTCGGCCGGGATGCTGATGGCATCACGCACCCAGGTGAGGAGGTGAGATGGCTGGGAATCAGGGGGTGACTTCTCAGGTGGGTGAGGAGAGCGGAGCGGAGGGCCTAGCCAAGGCTGTAGAACCCAACCTTTGGAATGCCCACAGGAGCGGGGCCATGACGTTTCCCAGCAGCACTTCACAGCCCCGGGGTGGACACGGGCTATTCCAGGCTTAGGGCTTTGCTGGCCTGACTTGTGTAGAGCTACCTGTAGGAGTCCTTTCTTCTCCAGATTGTGAGTGAAGCTGGGGGACCACCGCTTGGGCACCTTACTTTCTCTCCCTGAACGCTAGAATAATATGTGGCATACGACAGCACTCGGACAACTCCAGATGGATTCCCAGGAGGCTCTGAGCATTCCGAGACTCTTCCGAAGCCACGCGAATAGGTCCGGGCTCTCGCTCTGCACTCGGCTCCCCTCTGCGCTTCACAGGTCTTCTAGCTTGGCCTCATGCAAAAGTGCCTTTGGCAGCCTCCTCCCAGCTCTCCTTCCTCACTGGCATCGCTTACATTAATTTTTGGCAAGGCATTGACTCCAGAAACTCACCACTCCCTTGAGTTCTTCAAATGTGAACACAACTTCAAGAAACAACTCCTTGTGGGAGCCAGGCTCCAAGATGGCTCATGCTCATCGCCAAGCTCTGCTGTTCACACCTAATGAGGTCCCTGCCTTCCTGTATCTGGGTAGGTCTGTGCGACCAGTAGGGTGGGCCACAAGGGATGGCATGTCACTTCCAAGGTTAAGGTGTAAAAGATTCTGCGGCCTCTGCTTGGCCGCCCTCTCCTCTCATCCCTCACTCGGGGCGGGGGGGCGGATCCAGCTCCAGTGTCATTGGTGTCCTATGGGAGGCCCACATGGTGAGGGAGTGAGGCCTCTGGCTAAGAGGTCTGAAAGTGGATCCTCCAGCCCCAGTCGAGCCTTTTGATGGCTGGTCCTGGTTGCCAGCTTGAATGCCACCTCATGAGAGCTCCTGAGCCAGCACCACCCAGCTCAGCTGCTCCCAGATTACAGACCTGAAGAAATTCTGTGAGATAATAAACACTTGTGGTCGGGGCGCCTGGGTGGCTCAGTCGGTTAAGCGTCTACCTTCGGCTCAGGTCATGATCTTAGGATCCTGGGAACAAGCCCCACATCAAGCTCCCTGCTCAGTGGGGAGTCTGCTTCTCCCTCTGCCCCTGCCCGCACTCATGCTCTCCCTCTCTCTCTCTCAAATAAATAAATAAAATATTTAAAAAATAAAGTTCCTACTCTGTTAAGCAGTGCATTAGACAAAAAAAAAATTAACAGTTGTTGTCTTTAGCTGCTAAGCACTAGGGTCATTCGTTACACAGCAAAAGATAACTAATACACTCCTTTCATGGCAAAATATGAAAGGGCTAGAAGTCTGGCACCCACCCGGGGGGATGAGGCCCACACCACCCACAGGCATGCACGTCCATACTGAACAGGCACACCCCCCAGGACTCTGAAGGCTTACCATCACTGTAGTCGATAGGGGCATAAGACCCAAGGAAGAGGGAAGCAGCAAAACTACTGACCAAAGAAATTCTCTGTGAAAGAGAGAAACACAGTGAGATAGGCCTCATTTCCATAAGCAACTGAATACTCTGGTACGCACCACCCAAGAAGAGTTTTAAACTGGGGAGGGAAGTGGAAACATTGAGTGAGATGCCCCAGTAATGGCGGTGACTGAGTATCCTGGATTCTAGAGCATTGGAGTATCTGGAACACCAAGAACTGAGTCCTTGGGAGAGCACCTACCTCACTCTGCAGTTTCTGACAGGCCAGAAAACTATCAAGTCCAACAAAGAGAAAAGAGCAACAAGGCCTAGGAAAAAGCCGTGCTTAAGGAAGTGGCTTTTCCGCCCGGCATCCAGGGAGCGTGGTGCCTGATTTCCTTCCTCCGTTTTTGTGGTCTTTATAGCTAGTCCCAAGGGAAATGGGATGTGTGGCCACAGGATTCAGAACCAACAAAGATACTCTCAGGGGTTCAGAATAAATGAGTGAGTTGGCCCCTCAGAAGCACCAGAGCCCAGGCATGAGCTGGAGAAACTGGTAACGGATTTCAAATATCCCCCTGAGGGTCCGTGCTTCCACATGGGACTCAGGGGCCCTTGGACCACAGCAGAGAATGCCAGCACCTCCTGTCCCCCCCTCAGGCCACCTTTGTTCCATACACAGAGTGTGGAGAGGGTTTTTCATCTCTGCCCTTACCCACCCCCGCCCCGGAAATCTGCACTGCTAATGCCGCAGAGTAATCTGTAACCTTGAGTCGTCACATAATAAAAGGGATGTTGTTAATGCCCAAGATTAAAAAGGCACTCTGGTTTAACATGCGCTGATCATTTTCTAATGATCCAGAGATGAAAATCACTAGCCAAGTTGTGGAGCTGCTTCCCAGGTGGCGTTAAGAGCTGGCTTGCAGCACCTGTGGATGAAGGACCGAATCTGAGCTCCTGGGACACAGGCTCTGGCTGAAGGGCCATGGTGGGGACACATGGGTCCAGCTTGTCCCATTTCCAAAGAAAACATCGAGCCCATGCCCATCAAGAGCCTGGTAGCCATCCTGCGCTAACCATGCAGGAAACTGAGGGGACAGACACTAGCAGGCACCCGGACCAACGACTCAGGTGGCCCCAGGAAGACACCAATCCCCACAGCTCCCACCCTGCCCTTAACCTCTGCCCCTGACCTCCGCCCCACCTGGTCAGGAGAGGCCCTGACTTCTCTTTCCCACAATTCCATTCTCTCCCTCCTCTTTGGAAATGGCTTGCCAGTGAGAAAAAAGCAAACTGGATATATACCATTTCTAATGTCTGCTAATCGATGTTTTTGGCCAGTGCACACAAGATGTATTTATGCTAAAGGTAAGTATTATAAAAGAAATTCAACTGTGACTTAAATCAAATAGGAACGTTTCACCAACCTCTGTCTGTGAGTAGGCCTCGGGATTCTGCTGGTAAATCTTTGCAATTTGGTTTCCTGTAAAACGCTGGAAAAAGACTGCAAATTTTTAAAAACCCAACTCCTACATGCAATGATCATCTCTAGAACTTGCGACTGGCATAGCATGCTCTGTATATGAGTTTGTGTCGTGAAAGCTTTACAAAGGCCTCAAATCTAGAAATGTCAGCTGAACACCCTTAGTGAATAAGCCTTGCTCCTCACCCGGCACAGTGACCGTGCAGACCAAGGGCCCCAGCGCAGAAGACGCAGGTCCGCTCCCCACCCCTCCCTGTTGTTTTTAAGGCCGGTGGCCCAAGAAGGGTCACATGACCCAAGCTGGCCAATCGCAGCCAGCCCTGTAACGGTGGCCGAAGCCAGTGGGAAAGAGGCATTCTTTTTTTTTTTTTTTTTTTTAACTTTTCCAGGAGCTGCACTAAGGGCCTTGCATACATTGACTCCTTTCAGCTTCAAAACTGCCTGAAGTGTAAGTGCTATTTGTATCCCAGGTTAGAGGCTGACGTGGAGGTGACATCATGACCCCGCACAGAGCACAGCCAGGGTCACACCTCAGCTCCCCGCTGGGCAACGGGAGGCGCATCCTTGCTCGTGGGCAGCAGAAGGAGGCAGGACAGCCTTGAGCAGAATCGGGGGCCAGAGTGCCCAATCCTGGCTCTGCAGGGCGACACCCACAGGGCCTCATGTGATCCCCACTGGGGCAGGTCACCAGCTGTGTCCTCCCAGACACCCAGGGACAAGGGACCAGAGCCAGCAACAGGACTTTCCTCCCAGGGCCAAACCTAGCCCCCAGCCCCCAGCCCCTGGCGGGCGCTGCGCACCTCATAGGCACGGGAGCCAGTGAGGCAGCTGAGAGCCTGGGCCCCGCCCACAGCGGCCTCCAGCCCACGGCATTGGGCTGTGGTGCTGGAGTCCATCCACACCGGGCTGTCCCTGATGGAGAAACAGGCCTGGAAAGGAGGAATGAAGGCACAGGTTTGAATTCTGCCTGCTGACTCTGGGAGCCGCCCTGGGTCTGGCGGTTCCATGGCCAATCACAGCAGGTGTAGGCACCTCCTCCCTGGACGTGACCTTGGAAGACCCTGGGGCGAGCCCTTGCAGCCCAAACCTCGGCCTGGCCCAGTGGCGTCTCTCCCCAGAAAGCTCAAGGGAGAAGGTTCCGATGAGGACACCTGAGCACCACGGGCAACACTGGGGATGAGCTGGGGAGGGCTAGAACTGCAGCAAAGTGCAGTTTCCCAGGGGCCTTTGCAGCCCGGAACCATGGAGAAGACAGAACCTGCCTTCCCAGCACCACCAGGAGACATCATGCCCCAAGGGGAGATCTCTGAGGGGGAAACTAGCCAGAGCCACGCCTGGCAGGAAGGGACCCATGAGGAGGGCTATGCACCCGATCCTCTGTCCAGACACCAGCTATTTCCACCTGGAGGCAGGGCAGACCATGTTCACCACACTACGGCCAAGCCAAGTTCTTATACCCTTGACAATGCACAAAAGCCCCAGACTTCCAGGCCCGCAAAGGCTTGGGCCCTTCTCCCCTCGGTTACCTGTAGCTGCTTATGTAATAGGAGGTCTGGTGACAGGCTTGTCAGCACCCGGCTGGCCCCAGCCTTCCAGTATACACTTCCATGTTGCTGTCAAGGCAAAACCCAAGCACACGTTCACACGGCCACACACTGGGATCACCTCCCAGAGACAGAGAAAGACTCCAGACCACACCCCAAAGAACTGGCTCCAAGCCTGCCCCTGCCATTTTTTACTCACAGAACTCATCCCCTTTCTGAGACTTGGTTTTCACCTCTAGAAAACGAGAACTCTGCCCTGTCCACCTCAAAACTTATAGGAAGGGTCCAAGAAAGAATTAGTGGTTTGGATTTTGGTATCCTTGTAAAATTGTATTTAAATATATTGCTCATATTACCTGAAATTCATTCCTTTATTCAGTTACCCATTCATTCATTCAACAAACATTTCCTGAGCACTTAGATCGTGCCAGGTGAGGGGATAGATGAATAGAATGGTACTGTCCCTGTTCTCTACATATTGTCTTTGAGTCAGGGAGAAAGACACAAACACACAATTACAAAACCCTATGGATGTGCAGTGGCAGGGCAGTGGGGACACAGAGGAGGGGCATCGAACGAGGTGGTAGAAAGGACATTATTAGCAGGGAAGGAGCTGGAGTTGAGTGTGTGGGTGCTCCACGCAGAGAGCAAGCGCAGCTGAGAGAGCCTGGCAGGTGTGGAGAGTGGTGGTATTCCACACAGGGGGCTGAGTCTCGGGCGGGAGGGCGGCAGTGAGGGCTGGAGGGGGAGGTGGCATCCTGAGCACCAGGGCCTGGACATACATGCTCAGGAGGTGGGGGCTTATCTTGGAGGTGTGGGAACTCTGGATTAGCAGGGGAGTGACATGGCCAGGGCTGAATGTATGAAAGGGTTTGGGGGAGTCACAGAGAAGGTATGTGGGAGGCAGGGAGGCCCAAGCAGAGGACCAGAGAAAAATCATAGATATTCAGCCTGGGGCAAAAGAGGAGGATTGGAGAAGAGGTGTGATAGATTTAAGAGTCATGTAACAAATCAACAGGGCATGGGGACCCCTTGGACGTGGGTTCGAGGATGACAGGTTGTGGCCCTGGGGAAAGATGGAGCACTCAGTCTAGCACATGATAAGCTGGAGGTGTTCTTGAGACACCTGGCCATGGGGTTGGGGGATGCCCAGGAGGGAGAGGGTATCCCAGCCTGGGGTTCAGATGAGAGAGGTGGACGAGATCCCCCAGGGAATCTGTTTCTGTTTAACAAGGACAGGAGCGTTAAATTCCTGTTAGGTTGGAGGGTAGGGGAGAAGAGGTGGCTTCAGAAAAATTAGTCAGCGCTCTCTAACGAGGATGTGAAAGCAGGCTAATCCACCATGGAGCAAAGTGATTCAGATGGTAAGATTCAACTTGGGTCCTGACTCCTCCTCCAGGCAGCTGTGTGACCTTGGGTAAGTGACATCACCCCTCTGTGCCTCAGTGTCCCCATGTAAATGGCAATGATATTAAAGGCAGTAGCTAAAACTTAAATGAAGTTTTTATGCACTATGTATTTAACATTCACATCGACCCTAAGGCAAATGAGGGCACAGAGTCACCAGAAAGTTCGATGACACTGCTTTTAAATGGCGGGCCTGGGGACAGAGCCAGGCAGCAGACCCAGAGCTCCCGTGCTAACCGCACCCCGACACCACCTCATAAAATCATTGTAACCATTAGGTTAAACAGTGTACCTAAGAGGCACCGGGGTGGCTCAGTTGATTAAGCAGCGAACTCTTGGTTTTGGCTCAGGTTGTGATCTCAAGGGTTGTGAGCCCTGTGTCGGGCTCCGCACAGGGTGCTGAGTCTGCTTGAGATTCTCTCTCCCTCTCCCTCTCCCTCTCCCTCTGCCCCTTCTCCTGTTCACACACACTATCTCTCTCTCTCTTTCTAAAAAGAAAAAAAACAGTATACGTAAAATGCTCGGCACTGCACCTGGCCTGTACTAAGTGCTCAGTCAGTGTGTTTTGTTATTATTTTTACTAATAGTGCTACTACTAAAACTGCTATCATTAGGAGTATAATTTCTGACTTTGCCTCTACTTCCTGGAAACGGAAAAGCAATGCTAGTGCTCCCAGACAGGCATCATAAATGCACGTCAAATGCTTCCTCCACCCCGTTAGAGGACCTCTCTCTGGTTCTTCCTCACCCAGCATCCTGTTCTGTATAATGCTTCACAGTCCCAGCCGCCTCAGATCCTTCAGCAAGGAGGCAAGCTCTACATCCTCAAGGTAGAAGAGTGGCAGGGGTCTTTACCAATGACAGAAAGCGTGCAGCGGCTCTCAGGAAGCAGCATTTCCTCCAGGGGAGCCCCGCACCCCTGCCCGATGGCTGCCCCGCATGCTGCAGGGAGGCTGCCACAGACAAACCTGGCCCGCCCCAGACAGGGCGAGGACTTGAGAGAAGTCGAAGCCCGAAGCCTTCATCCTCTCCAAGATGATATCCAGAGCCTGAGAAGACAAACGGAGCCCACTGTGACTCTCTGGAACCACTGAGTCATGCAAACCCTCAGGCCTCAGCACTAAAACCCAAGTGCTTGCCATTACCCTGGAGATGCGAAAGAGCTGATGGCTTGGGATAGATAAGCCCTGGAATAATTAATTAAAGTAGGCACCCATCAAATAAAAAGGTGAACCCTGGTAAAAATAGCTTAAATAGATGGAATCAGAAACCACTGGTCCCTCAAATTCTGCTTCTCCAATTTGTGACTTCCAAGCACTCAGGAAGAACAAAAAACAAGGTGGATCAAATTATGGTTTCTTTTATTTGCATTTTCAACCCACTGGACTAGTGGTGTGACTTCACTGCAACAGAGAGGTGAAGAGCAAAGTAGACAGCCCCCATCAGAGAGGGGCCCAGGCCTAGACTCCGTGTGTCCAGGAGCACCAGTCTGGAAGGAGTAGATAGAGATGGTGGCCATTTGTCCCAATCCCCATTCTACCCTCCACCATCTGGGTGTTATCTTTCTTGCAAGACCCCAGGTGTGGGATAGATGGAGCTGCCTGCCCAGAGCTCCCCTAAGAATTCAGGGCAGGAATTAGAGAGTCACCCCAGGCTGCTGGAGCTTTGACCTGACACCACCATCCCCACCCTCTGCTGGGAGGGCTCCTCTCGAAGCCCTGGCTATGGGCTGCCAACTCGGCCCTCCTGGCCAAACCTTGAGCAGGGAGTGGGGCATGGCTGGAGGGGGGACTGGCAAAGCTAGAACAGGCCCAATCCTGGGGGGCTGCTCATAATTAGAAATCATGTGGCCCCACCCCCAAGTCTGACTCTCTATCCATTGCTCATCACTCCAAGTTAAGGCCCCAAACTATCGAAAGCCCTGACATTATCACTGGGACTTCTAGACACTGACTCTTGCCTGTCACCCCCACTGCCCCTTGGTCTGGCTCAGCCCTAGGAAGTCCATTCTCGCTGGCCTGTCTGGTGGAAAGCTGTGCTTTACCCCAGTCCTCCAGTATGAGTCAGGGTCAAGTTGATTAAAAAAAAAATTTTTTTTTTCTTTTAAATTACACTAGTTATCTTAACAGAAAGAATTTAGGAGAGGGAATTACTTAACCAGGTATTGGAGGACTGAACCAGCTTTGGCAGACACACTGAGCACTGCCTTTGGCTGGCTTCCAGTTTCAGTGTCTCGGGACCCCCGAGGCAGACTCAGCCCTATCATGCTGGTCTGTACTGGCCACGCCCCTGGTCCCGCGGCTCTATGGGTCACCCACGTTTGGCAACAGGCATCTTCCTTTCTTGTTGGTCCTGAGCAGGCAGGCCTGGCTTGGAGTCCATCTGAGCCTGAACACTAAGACGCCAGTGCTGTGTCTGGATCTCAGGGTACAAGGGTGGCCAGAGGGCCTCCTGCAGAGTGTTTGGCAAAGTTTTGGGAAAAGCGGTATTCTGAAGATGGCTACTTCCTGGCAGGGCCTGCAAGTGCTCTAGCAACAGACCTGCAAGCCCTCTCAGGCTCAGGAGTACTGACACCAGCCGAGGATTCGTCTAGCCTGAGGAGCCAGGCTGACTCCATTTCCCAATGAAGACCTGGTCTCAACAGAGGGTCAGGGATCCCTGTGCTTACCTGGACCCACATCAGGACTGGAGAGGTCACTGTCAGCCCGTCTTCATGAACATGAACTCCACCCTGAGTCCTACAAGGAGAACAAGACAGAATGCTGGACAGGGCCTTGGGCGGGAGCCCGGTGGGGACAGACCCTGGATTCCTCCAGTGGAAAGAGAAATGCCCCTTCCCCAACATCGGTGGGAACTCTAAACTGAACAAGACTGAACAGGGCTGGCAAGATGGAAAGAGAAGTCCTGGAAATTGCTCAGGGGTGACAATTCTCAGAAAACACCAGCAAAAACAAGCCTTCTAAATATGAGGGGCTTGCCCTAGAAGGCAGGCATGGTGTCACTTGGTGCTGTGGCCATGAGGGAACTAGGGGGTGCAGGGTTGGATTAAAACCCTCTCAAGCCCACTGGGTTTGGAGAGGTAGAAAGGATGCACTACAAAGAGGTGCTGCATCTGCAGGAAAAGTTCTTGGCTATCAGACCAGGGAGTCCTTGGATTGCAAGCCTGGAAAGTTGCCTGGACCGCTCTCCCTACCCTCATCCCCCCTATAAGGCCCTCGTGTAAATAACTGATTTGACAAAATCCAACCCTTTCAATGATGAGTTTATCTTTATTTTTAAAGATTTTATGTATTTACATGAGAAAGAGAGAGAGCACAGAGGGAGAGGGAGAAGCAGACCCCTGCTGAGCAAGGAGCCCGATGCAGGGCTCCATCCCAGGACCCTGAGATCATGACCTGAGCCAAAGGCAGATGCTTAACCGATTGAACCACCCAGGTACTCCTCAATGACGAGTTTAAAACAACAACAGCAACAACAACAAGGGGGCGCCTGACTCCAGAGTCAACTCAGGTGTCTCTAAGCAGGTGAAATGTATAAATCGTGGTGTGTGTGTGTGTGTGTGTGTGTGTGATGGAGTACTACACGATAATAATAATAAAAAAGTGAACTATTGATACACACACCAACAGAGATGAATCTCCAATGACCATGCTGAATGAAGGAAGCCAGGCACAAAAGAGTCCATATTACATGATGCCATGTATATAACATGCTAGAAAGCGCAAATCCACCTGTTGTGAAAAAGCAGGTCAGTGGTTTCCCAAGTCCAGCAGGAAGGAAAGGATGGAATGCAAAGGGGCACAAAGAATCTTTTGGGAGCGATGTAGACAGTCTGTATCTTAATTTTGGTGGTACTTTCCCAGCTACAGTTCTGCCTCTATCAAGATGCACTGAATTGTACATTTTAATGGATGTCCTTTTTTTATACACAAATGATACTCAATAATAATGACATTTTTAAAAAGATACTATTAGAAAAAGTGAAAAAGAGCAGCAAACTTTCCCATAGACAATAAAAACCATCAGAAAAAAAATGTTGCCTTTACAAAACACATGATAATTGCAACCAAACAGTCCGCATGTATTTAGCAACTTAAAATGGGCAATTCCTGCTAGGAGGGAAGACCAGCGCTCCCCACACCTGCCAAAGCACCAGGCCCAAATGGTTTCACAAAACAGTGCTCTGAAACCTTTAAAAAACAAGTATTTCTAATATTGTTTACCTTGGAATTTTCCAATTCTTTTTATGAAAAATAAAATAAAATCAACACCAAAACCTAACAAATACTGTACCAAAGTACAAGCAACAGAAGAAAAAACTGATTAAATAGACAACCAAAATTTAAAACTTTTGTTTCAAAGGACCATCAAGAAAGTGAAAAGACAACCACAGAAACGGGAAAAAAGTTTTGAAATCATATGTCTGATAAGAGACTTGTATCCAGACTATCTAAAGAACTTTTACAACTCAGTAATAAAAAGACAACGCAGTTGAAAAATGGGCAAAGGATCCAAGTGGACATTTCTCCAAAGAAGATACACAAACGGCCAAACATACTCAACATCGCTGGTCATTAGAAAGATGCAAATCAACACCACAATGAGCTACTACCATTTCATGCCCACTAACACAGCTATAATCATCAGAAGAATAGTAAAAAACAAATGTTGGCAAAAACATGGAGGAATTGCAACCCTCCTATACCACTCGTGGGAGTATAAAATGGTACAATTGCTTTGGAAAAGTCTGTCAGTTCCTCCAAATGTTGAACATAGTTACCATAGGACCCATTCATTCCACTCCTAGGTATACCCCCAGTGGAAATGAGAACACATGGCCACACAAAAACTTGTACACTAGATTAGTCAGCTTGGGCTGCCATAACCACAGATGAAGTGGTTTAAACAACAGGCATTTAGGGGCGCCTGGGTGGCTCAGTCGGTTAAGCGGCTGCCTTCGGCTCAGGTCATGATCCTGGGGTCCTGGGATCGAGCCCCGCAGCGGGTTCCCTGCTCCGCAGGAAGTCTGCTTCTCCCTCTCCCTCTGCCTGCCTCTCTGCCTACTTGTTCTCTCTCTCTCTATCTCTCTGTCAAACAAATAAATAAAATCTTTAAAAAAAAAAAAACAAAAAAAACCCCAGGCATTTATCTGGTCACAGTTCTGGAGGCAAGAAGCCCATGATCAAGGTGCTGGCAAATCTGGTTTCTGGTGAAAGCATTCTTCCTACGTGCAGATGGCTACCTTCTTACCGTGTCCTCGCATGGCCCTTTCCTCTGTGCATACTCGGGCGGGGGGGGGAGGGGAGAGAGGGAGAGAGAGAGAGAGAGATCGTCCTCTTAGAAGGATACCAGTCCTATTGGATTAGAGCCCCACCCTTAGGACCTCATTTAACCTTAATTACTTCCCTCAAGGCTCTATCTCCAAATACAGCCACATTGGAGGTTAGGGCTTCAACATGCTTTTTCAGGGGGCGGGAGAAGGACACAATTTAGTCTATAACATCCATGAATGTTCATAGCAGGATTATTCATAATAGCCAAAGAGTGGGATATCTGGCAACTGATGTATGGATAAACAAAATGTGGTAATATCCATACAATGGAACATTACTGAGTATACTATACAAAGGAATGAAGTAGCATACAACATAAATTTGGGAAACGTTATGATAAGTGAAAGACACTTGCCAAAAATGACCACATATTGCATACATTCGTTTATAAGAAATGTTCAGAATAGGCAAATCCATCGAGACTGTGGTTGCCAGGGTTGGAGGAGGGGCATAGGGCGTGTACTGCTAGTGGGTACGGGGTTTCTTTTTGAGGAGATGAAAATGTTCTAAAATTAAATAGTGGAGATTGTGACACAGTTCTATGAGTATATTAAAAACCACTGAACTGTACATTTTGAAAGAGTGAATTTTTTGGTACATGAATTCTATCTCAATAGAGCTTTTAAAAAAAAAGATACGATGGGGGGATGACCCTGTATTAGTTAATTTCCATGGCTTGACACAGTTGAAAGTTAGTTCTCACTCACATAAAGCATCATCAGTGGTGTGCTAGGGACCAGGAATGCGGGGGGGGGGGGGGGGGGCTCTGTTCCCTGCAGTTATTCAGGGACCCAGGAGGATGGGGGCTCTTCTCATCTCCCAAGTGGTTTCCAAGGCTGCCCTGGACACTCACATCCAGCCACAGGACCCAGGAAGACACAGGGCAGAGGATCACAGTGGGGGTCGTATGGTCTCGTAGAGAGGCCTGTTCACTTTCTCTCATGTTCTGCTGGTTAAGACTCAAGTCACACGGCTGAACAAAACTGCACGGAAGGCAGGAGTATGCCCAGGAGGAGAAGGAAAGAAGTCTGGTAGATCACTGGTTAATTGCTACAAAAGTCCCCATTTACATTAGTAAAAAGATACAACAGTCAGAAAGAAGTTTAAAATGAATCATAGGTACCAGGTGGTTTTGCCCTGGTAGTGACCTGAAACTACTAAGCTTCTTTAGCTCACAATTCTGTGGGTCACTGGGTTGGGCTCAGCCGGGCTCCCTCTGTGTGTCGGCTAACAGCAGCTAGAGGGCTCTGCCTCTGGGGGCCAGCCGCTGCTTCTCTTAGCTGGGGATACAGGGGTAACTTGGCCACGTGTCTCTCATTCTCCAGCAGGCTGGCCTGAGCTCGGTCACGTGGTGGCTGGGCAGGGTTCCAAGAATGAGAGCAGAAGTCAGCAAGGCCTTCTTGAGGCTTAGGTCTAGAACAGCACAATGTTATTTCCCTCACGTTCTACTGGTTAAAATCCACAGGTCAGGAAATGACTCCCATCTCTTGACTGAAGGAGCTACAAAGTCACACTGCAAAGGGCCTGGGTGTAGGGAAGGGTGGGGAAGAATGGTCCTTTCTGCAATATATCCCAATGTGCACGATCCATATGTCAAACATATCAAAACCCATGTGAAGTATTCAAAAGAAGCCTTGAGGGACGCCTGGGTGGCTCAGTCGTTAAGTATCTGCCTTTGGCTCAGGTCATGATCCCAGGGTCCTGGGATCGAGCCCCACATCGGGCTCCCTGCTCAGTGGGGAGCCTGCTTCTCTTTCCCTCTGCCTGTGCTCTCTCTCTCTCTCTCTGACAAATAAATAAAATCTTTAAAAAAAAAAAAAAGAAGCCTTGAACAAACGGAAAGACAAAACATATGCCTTGATAGGAAAACTCAATCTCATAAAGTTGCCAATTCTCTGCAAGTTAATTTATAAATGTAATATGATCTCAATAAAAATATTAACAATTTCGCTTTCTGGAACCTTAAAAGCTGATTCTAAAGTACATATCAAAAAAGAACAAGAACGTCCACAGACACTGTAGAAGAGTCAGAGGGGACCAACAATTCTAGATATTAAATCATATTATAAAGCTGGAATAACTAAAACCACATGTCACTGGCTCATGAACAGACCCTCCCAACCAACGGCACAAAAGAAAACGCCCAGAAATCGACCTAACCGTACACAGAAATTAGCATATAAAGCTGGCATCTCAAATCAGTGAGGTAAAGATGGGCTTCTAAAAATACGGTATTAAGACAATTGGAGAGTCATTGGGAAAAAATTGGAGCTGGATCTAAATGTCATGCCATACAGCTAAACTCCAAACATTTTTATATAAGAAAACTGAAACCTTACAAGAACTAGAAGAAAACGTAGGCAAAGTCCTTCACAGTCTCCGAATGAGGAAGGCCTTTCAAACCG